GTTTTTAGCCATTCTGCTCTCATATGAAAGCTCAAAGACCCAGAGTTGATCCTGGCAAGGATTTACACAATCTCACCATTTTGGGGTCAAATAATCTCCTTTTTCAAAAGATACTGTGGGGGGGGGACTTTTAATGCTAACGAGCTGGCTAGAAACTCTCATTTGAATTAGTGGTCTGCACCCTTTATGAATCGGCCTTTTAATGGCTGATTGCTGATGGTCTACGGTCTCACAACTGAACCACCGTTGTGTGGCAACTGATGCATTCATTCGGGAAAGCTCAAATCTCAGACTGATGTTTGTTGCTGGAGTGTTTTGCACCTATACAAGCACTGAAGCAGGGGGTTCTCCCTCTCAGGGTGACAGTGCATTATCAACAGCAGAGCTGAAACACTGTCAAAGTGAACACACACCTGTAGGGAAGTCTGAATCCTCTAGGAAGGCTTGGATACTGGGATTTTGATAATAAATTTGCAAACCGTATCCATTGAAGCTGGAGAAGCAGTTTTGACGATTTCACTCTTGCAAATCGTTTTATTAAGTTGTCATCAAACGAAATGGGTCGGTGATTAATTGTTTATTAGCTTTGCAGAATCCAAAGGTTCTGTTTTCGACCAAGGACCTTATGGAAGATGGGAGATTTTCTGCCCATTTCTATTTGATAATCGGCGCGATACAGTGGAGGTAGTCATCGGAATAATTGTTCAGACAGTCGAAAGAAAGGACAAAAAGATCGCTCCTGAATTGCAGCATCGATGTACGGTCACGAGCCAAGGACTTGTGGAAGTTTATCTACAGTGATTGGACTGAATTTCCAGCCGTCTCTTCTTTTTTTTAGCGGTGTTCGCCCATGATTGTCCAAACGCAATTCTTGTAGTGGCAAAATCCAAGAACTGTGTATGGACATCAGTGGCTGACATTAGCAATACACCAAACGACCAAACTTCTGATTTGATTTTCGGGTGGTTTAATGAAGTTCCAACAAATATCGAGCGGGGTGAACTTCGAGCCCTCGATCTCAGGGCCCACAGAGCTTTGTGGAGAGTCATGATATCTATTATAGACTATCGAACTGACAAACTCTTTACCGAAGGGATCTATTACCCGCTCTTTCAAGAAAATTGCATTCAATTCTGGTGCATGTGCCTAATCTACGAAAACGACGACTGGAGGTGCGGCACAAAACAGAAACAACGCGCGCAAGTTAAGAATAAACGAGAAAAAAGGGGAAAAGTCGACAAGGACAATACACTTGCGAAGACGTAAAACCATGGAGGTAGAATCTCAATGGTAAAACCGAGCTAGAAAAGCGAAGAAAGCATTTGGTAAGGATTGATAAACACCGATACGGCCCGTACTGGAGAGGATAGCCAGGCTCTACGGTAAATATATATTTATTTAACTTTCCGTTTTACCCGACCTTTGCTACACCCTCCAACACTAGCAACAGCTTCGGGTTCAACATCGAAATGGAAAGCATTTTGGGCAGTGAATGTGTGGGGTTCCTTTGTACGTGTATAATTAATTTGGAAATATTTGGTATCAAGGACGGGCATAGAAGCAAATAGTCGGGGGGAGGGGTGGCAAACATTTGGGAGTTTTGTTTTGTAAATTTGTGTGGCCTTTTTGAGGGCGGGTGAGGCTAAATCACTGGGACTTTTGACAAGCTTTGGAAAGGGAGATTTATAAACAGTTCTTAGGCCTACCAAAAATTATAGGCTCTTTGATTTCAGTGTCTCTCTTTTTGGGGGGGGGGATCGGCCAATGACTGTTATGAGATCTTCATGACCAGTTTGTCCATTTAATTTAATTACCGAATTTGGAAGTCTGCATTCTCAGGTTCTATTGCAATGCAATGTTGTACAGAGTAACGTCCATGATGGTAGATTTGCCAGGTTCCTTATTTTGCCACTTGCTTTGAAAACCAATGAGACTTGACAACAGGTGGCAAACATAAGGTCTGTTTATTTCACATGGATCTGGATCTCGATCAGTGATCCTAATGCTGGTTCCCACCATCCACCAGGCAGGTTTTGGTGTCTGTAAACCAACAATGGATCATCAATCGTGATCCAGATCCATGTGGAATACGATCCCAGACGTTTAACAGTATTCCAACTTGTCATTTCGACTTCATTCGCTTGCTATCAACGACTCGCTTCAAAAAGGATTTTGTACCGAAATGCCTCAGGATGAAATATTGATTAACTAACGCACCAACTTGCAATATTTGTTTAAATGTTCTCCAGTGCTCCCACAAAAGACATACATGTACATAAATTTCAATACCAAATCAGGTTCCGACACCGCTATTTATTGTTTTGTTCAACTGTAACTTACAGGTAAGTAGCATCAGGATTTTTCTGTGTACACTAATCTGTACCATTTTAAAATAAATAATTCCTGTCAACTCTGAAGCAATGAGGTTCAACAAACACAAACAGTAACCACACAATGAAAGATAATAGCGTACACTTTAAATAAACTTACAACTGTCACAATTGACAATATGCATTTGGTAACGGACATATTCAGTACTCTCAAAGTCGAGTAATATCTGTAAGATGGTATAAATAATAACCAAATATTATTTAGGAATTGCTCATGATATATATTTGCATTTTACAAAAAAGCTAATAAAGACATTTTTAATCAAGTTTTTGACACCGCCATCACTCTCCGATATTCCATTTTAAATTTATCCAATATTTCCATCACAGCCTTAAGATCTCCATGAATAGTTTGTCTCCATTTGTGGAAAAATAGTGAAAGTCCATTTATAATAAAACACTGTCTTCTCATTTCCTCGTGAATTCACTATCACCTTCCTACGGTCGCAAAAAGATTTCAATTTATCCGTCAGAACCCAAATTGGTACGTGGACTGCATGAACCATTGTTCAGTTCAAATCCCAATCTTTTTGTGGTCTGAAACAAAATGTTGCCCGTACAGGTGCAGTGAGGTTCTTTGACTAACATAATAAAAGATGATTCTAATACATGTAGTTTGGCCACATCATCAGTGCAACTTTTAGATAATTCTTCTTTCTGTAAGCACTACGTGCACATAGTACGACTGCAAAACCTTTTATGCTGCAAGTGGACAAAATAAGTTCTTTTGATAATGATACTGTTTGAAGTAGTCATGGGGACGTTGTCTCACATTTGTACAACTGCCTGACCCCTGTGAAAATGTGTCGATTTGTACAACTGATGTTTAGAGGGCAAGAGATTAAGTTCTTGTCAATCCGAGGTGATTGATGGGTGTAAACAAAGTGGGCAGGGCAGCTAGGATGTACGGCGGGGGTTGTAGATTTGACCTGTCGGGACTGTTCATCCCGACACAGATTTGAAGTCTTCTCGTGCAAGGTGACTGAGTGAAGATGGTCCCCAGTGGGCGGAGCAGCTGAACTCCATTCATGGTTCTGCGTTGTGCATTAACAGAATGCTTGCTTCCATCGGGACTGGAATGCAAGCCGGCGTAGCAGCTTTTGGCCCCACAATTCGTGAGTTGCATAAAAGGTCTTCGTAATGTGTTTGCTGCATGTGTTTTTTTCACAGTCGAGATTGGGTGTCCTCCCGTGGGCTCGAACATTCCTCGTCGGAAGCAGCTGATTGGGTGTGGTCCATGTGGGAGGGGCGGTTTGGGTGGAGAAACACCTCGGGACCCCCGTCATAAATGGAGTGGAGGTAGTACCACATCTCCTTGGAGATCTGCCCACAATCAGCTCCTGGGGACAAGAAACGGGGGCATTTACATGTAGGTTTGCGTTTCCTAAATTTCATGAGTAGTAAGCACCATTGATTCTTAACTTCCTTCGAGCAATGACTCCAATAGGCAAGAAGTTACAGCTTACCATGTTTGAGGAGAGGTTGCCCCCCTTTCATGATTGCTATTGGCCGATTGTCAATGGGGCCTGGCGGATCTGTACAAGAAAGGAAAGCCATCAAATTGGGTGAAAGGCAATCACTCTGTTGCGCTTCATCTACTGATAAAAAAAACAAAAGTCCACTTTGTCTTTATCAGTAGTTAACCCCTTCCCGCCGGAAGGCGGCTATAGCCGCCGTAAAAATTGAGATCCTCAGCCCGCATTTCAGCTATTATTCTCGGCCCACGCTCGAGCGAATATGGTGAAAGAAGGCAGACCCTGGCTCTTGTATATATGGTGAGTGGTCTTGGTGTGTAGCCCAGAAATGAAAAGACCGATTTTGCATCATAATCACCAGCTTCACACTAGTCCCCACTTTGAAAAGAGGCAACGGGAATGTGGAAGCGTGAGTAGAGCTGCATGCCACCGAACAATCAGCCTTTTCATCGTGTAATTCAAAGCGTGCAGAGCACGCAGGGCCACAAACCGAGAATTTGCGGTTTGGCAGGTGGCCTTTGTGGCCAAGCGAGGCTGGAATTCTTGGAGTCGGCTTTTGGGAAGAAATTTCCAGCGCGAAGGGGTTGACCATGTAAAGCAAAACAAGCCGGGCTCTACATGTACCTTCCACAAATTGTCCAAAGTTCTTCAAAACTTCCTGGGGGATTTATGCGAGAGCACCAAGGATTAACCTTAGCCTTATACAATTCGGTAATAAATAGGTCACTTACACCATAATAATCTTCAAAAATCCTCCAATTTTGACATAATTTTCACGCACTCTCATAGTCAGGGTTCATTACTCACAGTATATTGTAATGATGACAGATTTGGTAACTTATGCCAAACTTTCCCGAGCATGATACTTACTTGCCACCATGATGGTCTTAGAGTTGCCTCCAAGGCTGTCTTTCAACAGCCATGTCAGGACCGAATCCCGGTAGGGAATAAACACCATGGACTTGCGCTTGTTGGTTGTGGACACGGGACTGTGATTCACCATGGACGACATATCAGCTGGAATGATATCAACGAATAGCAATAATGAGTCACTTGTTCATTGGCTACGCAGAAAGTCCTTACAATTATGTTCAAATGTTCTGAACAATAGAGACATTTTGGCTAGAACATGGTCAAGACGAAGGTACGCAAAGGTGCCCAAGGCAGCCGCCAAATGACCCACATCTGCCTGTAAAGCACAGCCAGAGATTGTAAGTTCTGATTTTTGCAGAGGGAGAAAAACCCAAATACTCAGGGCAAAAACCTTGGTGGCATAAGAGAGAATCGAACCCAGGACCATAGTGGTGACAGGCCAGTGCTTTAAGCACAAGCTGCCTATGCCACCCAGAAACACGTAAGGTAGGATGTAAAACTGTCGTTTGGCAGCATACAGGTGATGTTTTATGCGAAAGACAACATAAAAGCAAGTTTGGCGCTCAGTGAAATTCAATACTTTCAACATAATCTGCCAGCACTTTAATGACTGTAGCAATTGGAATTACATGTATATCTTTAAATCAACCACATAATCTCACATCGTAAACGAAAAAAAGGAAGAAAATCTGCACTCACCTAAAGCTGAAATTACATTACCAAGGGTGACCAGTGATTTGTTAATATTGGCTCCTTCTTTTAACCGGTCCCCTGTAGCACCTGTGGCATCTGCTCTTTCACTGCAATAAAACAAGAGAAATACATGACAATGGATATAAACTTTTATGGTAAAATACATTTGTTTTTGTATAAGGATAGCAGTGGGACCAAGCCTACATGGACTGGATTGGTTGGTGGGTGGGTTAAACAATATCCGCATCTTGGCTGTTGATCACAAATTGTTTTACTCATGAGGCATTTGGCATGGTACATCGTCAAGTTGAAACAAATTATTTTTCATACATGCACTGTGTCCATGAAGGAACACTTTTTCACTGCGCAAAATTGGGAAAAACCAACATGCCTTTTGAAATTTGACATCTTGTGGCAATGGTACAGTTTCATATCATTAGTGTCCATGCCCTGCCAATAAGCAGCAAATTCATCAAGGCTCAGCAGGACTAAAAAAGTACCAAGGCAACAAAGACATAGGTTCTTCAGTGGACTCTGATACAAAGTCTGTACAAGATTTTGGTGCAAAAATTTTCACACAAAGCTGCTACAAATCTTTTTGCTGAGAAAACGACGGGGAGGAGTTTGACTCGGTGACTGTTTGGTAACAATGAAATCCTATCTTGTCAGAATAATGCACTGAATGCCTGGACCTCAATATACCTCCACCTCATCACATATATTGTACCCTGCCAGTGACATCAGTGCATTAAAAGTTGGCTGCTGCCCCCTTTACTTAGGGGGAATCTCTCAGCCAATCATCTGGATGGATGGGTATGCCAAAACTCTTCAACTCAGGGCACTGGAGTACAAACCATTACAACAGTAACAGGGGCAAGCATGTACATGTACACCCATTTGTTGACCACTGGGCAATAAAACATATGCTAGGTGCCATGTGAAATCGAAAAGTGGTTGTGGAGTGGTCCTATCACTCAAACTTGTTTGTTGATGACTCCAATCGGAATGAGTTGAAGGGTGTTCGTTTGTGTGTTCATGGGAATGGTAGACCATTTCTTGGAGTCCTGGTTGCCCTACTCTTTAGTCTGTTAGCAACATCTATGCAGTACACTTCTTGAAGATGAACTCTGAAGTGACTTGGAGAAAGTTATGAAGATAGTAATCATGTCAAACCTTACCTGCCTGCCAGATCTACCAGGTTGATTTTACTGATGGTCTCACTTGGCATGTCATCGTGAAATTTGGCCTGGTAAAAATGAATAATAAAATGCCATTATTGAGGCGGTACTGGCATTCTACTCTGTACTACGCACCTACATGTATTGGTTAATGTATTTTTACCATTAAAAAACTGCATTTATGTTGGAGAAAGAGACTAACATTATGCTAGCAATAATGCTTAAGCCCTTTAGATAACAAAGTTTGTTGAAAAAAATCAAAATTAGAATTTTCATTGGGAAAATTCATCTTTGACAGTAACAACATCCCTTTGATGGCAACTAACTGTGTGGGTGCAAAGATTCTTGGTTTGAATTTCTTTTGGAATTTACAGTCTTCAGGAGTGCACTGTGTGTTCAGAAGCCCAATTCAAAAACATCCCATTAGCCTCTCTCTTCTTTGTTGGTTGGGGGAGGAGGGTGCTATAAACATGGGATAAACAAATTGTTTGCCGGGCTTACTTGGGTGAAAGTGATGGTGAAGATTGCATGTGACCTACTGCTGGTGTCGTTCATCATGGTGGAAGCCGTGGTTCTGTTAACAGAGAGAACTAAAGGTGATCAAGCCATCAGCTTCCAGGAGTGCGTTACACAGCCTGACAGCAACTAAATATCTCATCATTATTCGGGGACAAAAATTTCGAATTTCATTCATGAGCCGGAAAAGACAACAACTTAGGCAAAAAGGCATAAAGGAAATAAAGCCATTTGGATGTTAATAATCTTTCCGGCATTGAATGAGTTGCCAAAAAAAATCTTCTCCACAAAATATCTTTGTGACACACAACATGGGGAATCACTCCTGTTAACTTACACCATCTGTATGGGCGTGTGTAGGTAATTAACATAAAAAGGGACGTGAAGATGAAGTCACTGTCCCACTCTAGCAATGTTGTAAATAGTATCACACTTGTGCTCGTCAAACATGCTTATCGAGTTGGGGGGCATGCTTTCAAGAATGTACGAGTGTTCTATACATCATTTTGACTTGAAAACAAAATGCGTCCTCATGACCTGAGAAAGTCATGTACAGTACCAGTATGTGGACTTTCTCAGGTCCACAAAATATTTTCCCCTCTCTAAAAAAACAGGTTCAGAGGCATTTAGGGGTTTGGGTTATCAATTATGTCAATGGCAAAAGGAAGAACAGTCAAGGAATCCATCAACACAAACCCGCTTGAAAACCATGCTCACAGTTCAAGAAACTGAAGTACATGTACATGTAGTTTCACTGGGTTTTCTTTAAACACGAGAGAACCAAAGAAATGTACATGTACTTGTTTGTAACACTATAACACCGATGTACCTTTGTGTGTTCCCCTTATCCATAAGGACATGAACATCTTGGTAGTCAGACACAAGGTGCTTGGAAAGGTCTACAGAAGGAAACAAACCACCAAAATGCATCACATTGCTTTCATGAACACTGCATTCATTCAGAGTCTACACAGAGCGAAAAAAAGGAAGACACATGGTCCACATGTACATGTAGACTCTTCAAACACACTGTCCCAGAAATCACAAAAAGAAGGGCCTTCTTGCCAAGAACACTGTTTAACTATTTATAGTTAACAAGTCAATACCTTGAAGGAGTGCAGCTATAAAGTTCTGTTTAATAGTCACTCTTTGTACCACACTGTTGTCTTCATAAATCTAGCTCTGGCCACATTTTGGCCAATCTGCTCCTTGCAGCCACTAGAGATGGCACGTACTATGTACATGTATTACAACATTTCTGTGGTGGGAAGACACCGCATGTGAGCACAGCTTTATGTGCACTTGAAGCAGGAGGTGCTGAGCAAGCACAACCATTTCCATAGACGTGCGCAGCCTTTCACATCATGCCGTGCACCAACTTGGAGGTTTCCCTCCTTGCCAGTTAAGGGGGCGCTTCTTGGCAGAATGGCTAATGATGAGTTCACAATTGAGCAGTCTGCACGAGAAGAGCTCACCTTGGACGTAGGGTCCATCGCGGGGGTGTTCCCTGACTCTCAGGGTGTACTGGGTGCTTGGTCGTAGCAGGTCTCGCACTCTCTCACAGTAGATTTCAAGGTAGCTACAAGAAAGAAAATGATGACACAGATCAGATTATCAGTTGAATTGGAAATCAGACCTTGATCAGTGTTGATAAGCAGGTGTAGTGGGCAGATCCAATTTGGAATTGGCTCTGACTGGAAGGTACGTGTACTCTACTGCAGACATGCCCTAGAATAACTGAATTAAACTGTATTTGGACTGTGTACATGTACGCTATTTTGAGCATGTGCTGCATACACTGTACATGTACCAAGAATCCAATCACAGGTTGACCCATTACCCTCTATTTTAAGGGGTCGGTGTTTCAAAAAATGAAAAAAAATATTATTTTACATGCACAGATACAAGGTTTCATCCATGTAATCTAGAAACGTGTATACACCGTAATTACATGTAACCTTGCAGACGAACCCCACAATATGCATGTCAATGTTAAAAGGGAGATTTTCATTTAAGTCCTCTTTACATGTTGTCTGCAGTGTGCTCTTTACTTGGTGCATCACCCACTTCAATTGAATTCCTGACAGTAGGCACCAATTGGGGGCTTTCATTAGTTTTCACTGTGAAACATCCCTATGGGGAAACGGCTCCGGGTGTTTTTAACCTCGTTTACAAAGAATAAATACTCAATATTCATGTCTTACATAGCAGATTTTCATCTGTTCGACTGTCACACACTGATGACTCTGAAACATGATTCAACAGACTAGGCTTTCTGGTCAAATCATAACCCATACCTGACTTCAGTTCGGCACGATATACCGTCATCGTCTTTCTTAATCCTACTGAAGAGGCCCTGTGAATAAAAGTAAGAGAAGTCCACTGTTTCAGACACCCACTTCAAAATCAACACACAAGGAGACTGTTCTCCATGAAGTGGAACACTTGGAGTCTCTCCATGTGAAATCAGTCCTCTGGAGCAGAAATCAGTTGCAACTGATATTAAACTTAGGGCCCAGTCTGGTTCCAAGACTTGAAGACTCTGACCCATTCACAGAACCTTACGGTTCCGTGACTGCCAAGGTGATCTGACAAAAATGGAAGGAATTCTTCTAGTTTCTGAAAATTTCCAAGATACAGTCAAACCTCATTACAACAAAGTTAAAGGGACAAAACAAATCGCTTTGTGACAACCAAGACTTTGCTATAGAAGGAGTGAAAAGAACAAAACCCAATCATTCAAAAAAATTGAGATTCTCCAAGTTTGCTCTTTGTAACAGTAATTTGTTATAACATTGTTTTTTTTTAATGAAAGTCGACTGCAGTTCGCAATTCTCCAAAACCTACTCTCACTCATTTTCGCTGTCAATGCTTGGAAATTTCCACAATGTCTTTTCTTCGGTGATTTCCTCACATGCCACAGGATTTTACTACCTTATTAATACTGTGGGGATTTTGAATACTGATCGCCACCTCTGCAAAATGACATGCATGGGCCGCATCCCAGACATCACACCATGCATCTTGAATTGCACCATGTTCTACATGCTAACATTCCTTCAACTTCTCAAGGGAATTGTTGGGTCTGTGAACCAGACACTTCATTTCTGATAGTCTTCCAGCGCAACATTTTTGTCAGTTAGTTCAACCAGATTACCCAGTTTTTTCACAACTGGATTTTGTGTGATCCACCCTGTACTGACATTGTGAAAGTTCAAAGGAATCTCATGTCTTTGAATTTCTATGCATACAGTACCAGTACATTATTCAAATGAAGTTTATAATGGCCATGAACGATGACTTGAGGAGGTCATCAGTTTATGCCTGACTGGTTTTGTGGCTTACTATACATGTACATGTACATCCATGTACTGTATATGGAACCATAGAGCTACAAACCCACAAACTACCGGGCCCAGTTCTGTTGTGCTGCTTAACAGTTAACGTGAATGATGTGCTGATTACCTGGTACGGCAGAAAATCATGTTGCTGCATACACTCATAATGTTAAGCACTACATGTATTTTGATACTTGAATGAGCAGACAGTTGCATGGAGATTCCTATTGTTACATGAAATGTACATCACTAATTCTAGCAACTTTCTCCTTGGGGTTAAGCTTGGTTTTGCTGTGCTTGCTGCTTAACAGTTTCCATATAACCGAAGGAGGCTCTGTCTGTACATGTACGGTACATGTACTTGAAGCTACCGGTAGCACCATGAAATTGGGCCCAGGATGCATGTAGATGAAAAATAGCAGAGCTTAAAATCAAGAATGTACACAATTGAAGATGTTGCTAATGGTACATGTACAGCGTAAATGTACCTACATGTACATGTAAGTATACATGTACATCATAGGTACAGTAGGCATTCATCATGATCAGGGGCCAAGTTCTTTTGTTAGGGAAATTTCAACCGCGTTGTGGGGACATTTCTGAGTCCCCAGAATGTTTTCGGTCCCCACAAACTGGCTGAAATGTTAAGTGTATGTCCCCACAACTACCGGTACGGTACAGTGCGGGAGTGCTCACTCACACATACACGTACATGTGTACACCACTGAAGTCGTATTGTGTACATGTACATGAATGAGCTGGAATAAATGGCGAAGCAGATAACAATGCATTGCTTGCTTTGTTAATGTCATTTTTATAAATTGAAGACTATAAAAGACACCTGGTTCAAAGAACGGCAACATAACATGGACAATATACAGTTGACAAAGCAGATGTACACACACCATACCAATGAGACTGTCACTCACATGAATGCTTACATGTCCATGCGAGGGTTGTTGGCAACAAACTATGGTAAATGTGGGAGGAGGATAATTGGGGCGTGTATCTGCACACTGAGAATGGGTATGATTTTGGCCTATACACTGAGAATGGGTATGATTTTGGCCTATACACTGAGAATGGGTATGATTTTGGCCTATACACTGAGAATGGGTATGATTTTGGCCTATACACTGAGAATGGGTATGATTTTGGCCTATACACTGAGAATGGGTATGATTTTGGCCTATACACTGAGAATGGGTATGATTTTAGCCTTCGCATTTAGACAAGCTGAAGAGGTCCCTTTGGGGAGGACGTACATGTAAATTTCAATAGTATATTGTACATGTACGTGAACACATTCAAAACCACATTCGGATTTTCCACATTCACATTCTCTGCCAAATTAACATCTTGGATGGAGCAACTTAATGCAGCAATCAAAAACTGCATTCCTGTTGGTATACACTGTACATGTACAGTACTGTGTACCAGTACATACAGGCATGCGACACTTTACGGATCACTTCAAGTACTGGGTAAATGCTCAGTAGGCATGGGACGCAATGTATTAATGCGGAAGAATGTTGCACACTATAGATATTGTGCAAAGTGCTATAATGAAACTGTTAGTTTGTGAATACGGCTGTTTCACAATAGTGCGCCACCAAGAGTTTGCAATGTGTTGGCCAATCACAATGCGCGAAAGTTGTCTACCCAATGCGTGTTTAGAAAAGGTCTACAAATTTCGAGTGTTGTGATTGGCCAATGCGTTACAAACTCTTGGAGGCGCCCTATTGTGAAACGGCCGTATTACACTCCAACATGTACACACACAAACACACACACACCTTACGTACATGTACATGTATACCTACTGTGGACATTCCTTTCTTTTCGTGCAGTTAAGAAAACTCAGTGAAAATACTCGCTTTTCTTGAACTGGGAACACGATTTTCAGCTGCATTTTTGTAAAAGGTTTCCTTGACTATTCCTCTTCCTTTTACGACAGATGACCCCTACCCCAGAATGCCTCTAAACCCCTTCTTCAGAGAAGGGGAAACGTCCCGTGGACGTGTGTAACTCCTCCTTTCCCGCATCATGTGGACATCTTTTGTTCACAGGTCCACCCTAGGTATGTAAGGTTAGTACATCAGTACAAACACACACATGCAAGGGGTAAATGTACATGTACATGTACCGGTATTTCCATCACATCTGTATTATACATGTACATGTACCTGCAAATTAATAATTCCGTCAAAGTCTTTCCCTACATGTATTGACTTCTCCACAAAGGCCTAGGCAACTGATGAGAACCTGCACATGATCTCTGTTCTTTCTCTCTGATGAAACACCATTAGGGGAATGCACAGACCCATCCTGTACATGTACATGTACCCCAGGTACACGTACCGGTACGTGTACATTGTATGTCCTTTCAGGGAGGCCCCCAGTTATGTCGGAAGCATTGTGCTGACTACTGTCTTCCCTGTGATTATTATTCTACATAACGCATACAGTATTTGTACTGTAGCTGAAACAATATATTTACACCATAGGGAAGTGCAAAGTCATTTTTGGCATGTACATGTATACATGAGCATCAACAATCACACCATTGGTGACAACTTTACAACTATTTAAAACTTCTAAAACCTTTACTAACCAACGGCATTAAATCTCAAACTGTTCTCAAATTGCCATTTCACCATCATTAAAAATACATCACGCAGCGTGATGAGTCACCAGAGATATTTACATACATGGCCTGCTTTGTTCATACAGGCCACTACAAAGTTATTGTTGTTTCTCATCACTGCCCTGAAATTGCCAAGAAATCATTTGCCTTTGGTTTTGATTTGGTTTTTCCTTTGGGTTTTGGTTGAACCAACACCAGGCTGCAGAGCTACTTGTACCGGGCAGAGATAACACTGTGCAACTACATGTACAAGTACTCCCCCAACAATGGAACCACTGTACTGCTTAGTACTGTACAAACCATGAGCCAATGACCCTTAAGCGTTTTTCTGAGCAAATAATGGCACAGTGATTCTGTTTCAGCCATAGGGCTATCTACATGTAGGTGTAGGAGTTCAACAATTTCATACTGGTCAATAAATCATAAAGTTTAAGACTTCCACATCACTTTCACATAATTCCTGTTTACTTTTACACAAACCTGCAGAAAACTGCCTAAACAGACAAACAAAAACCAACAAAATCAGCAAAAACAAAAGCTTAACACTATCATAAAGGTGGGAAAAGACGACACTGTACACGTACAATCACAACATGTATTCAATAGCATTCCTGCAACTTTCCAAAAAGTACTAGTAAGTGAGGAAGTTTCTTGCAACATGTATTGTCCAAGCAAGTACTGTACATGTACATTGAGCATTGTAAAAACAAAGAGTATCCTCTTTCAAATGTAATTTAAAATGAACGGAAGACTCAAATCCAAACAAAAGTCAATGGACTCTCTGTCCCTTTTAGTTCTGGGTACCGATACATGCACATTAAAAAACCAACGCACTTCCGTTCAACTCCTACTTGTTAAGCAGATACCGGTACATGTACAAGTACCGCGGTATGTCATGCATGGCGGGGGATCAAGAATAAAAAGAATTTGGTAGTAATAAAGACTGAAGTTTCAAGCAGAACCAATGTAGAACTTCAACAGTTTTCCCCTCTCCCTTTTTTTGACAGCCACAGAAGACTCCCCTGAAAGACAGACCCTGGCATGGATGAAAATGGTATTTGTCCTGTTGTGGCCAAATGGTGGAAATGCACTTCAGGTGTAGTCGGTGTCACACGGGCACCTTGGGCAGTCATGTGAATCCGCCCCGGTACTGCGCTGGTGCTCAAAATGAAACCAGTAAACTGTTGAGTGGTTCAATTGTTAATTAGGCTCTTTGTGCAATGAACTAACCAAATTGAAACTTAAAGAAGTGTTTGCTTTCACTTACTTCGCATATTCTTGGTATTAATCCCTTGCAGGACTGTGGAGATAACAAGAAAGAGGAAACATAACTAAAGTTGAATCCAGTATTATATGACACGAAATAGTTTTGGAAAATGCTTGAAACTTGTGAAGCAGCACATGTATACATCTGTGTGCACACATGTACATGTACAGTATGTACCAGTGAACTGTACAAGTGTGCACCAAACATTCATAACATTAGTTGAAAGGTTATATATAAAACTTCAAAGGACCATTTTGATGACCAATCTATCTGCCGGATACATGTAATTACAGAGTAAGTGGTTTTCTAAGTGGTGAGCGACCCAGACGGTTGACATCACATACACTTTTTCCCCATGATTTAAGTCCAAATTTTGCTCTGCATACATGCACCCTGGTCCTGCTTCCTGAGACTACTCTTATATTCAGCTGCCGGTACTTAGAGAACTTACATGTAACTTGTGCACAGAACAAAAAAGGTTCAATGTGAGTTATCAGCAAAAGGTTTATGAGCAAGAGGCTTTGTTGTAAAAAATTATGTTAATACCAATATTAATCTTTGGTCAATTGATCTACCGTGTACCAGTACACCAAAATGTTTAGAAAAGTTACATTTATGGAAATTACATGTATGAATTTGTGAAGTGGCTGAGTGAAACATTTCTAATTTCATTTGATGATTGGTAGCCCTACGTAGAGAGTGTGTGTGTGTCAAGATCCATTAGTTTTCACATCAAATAACAGAGATATCTTTCACAAGGTTTCAGTATTCAACCATCCAGTGGGAAATCGAAATACCCATTATTCTGAGTCAATTTCTAAAAAGTGCTTATGACCAGCTTTAAAAGAAATGAGCAGACTGGCCTGTAAAATCATTTAGCATTCCCTATAAGGGTTCCTGCACAGGGTATACTCTGTGAACCAGGGAGAACAGTTGTGGTGTTTGTACTTGTGGCTGAACCACATGACAAGAACTTGAACACGTGTGTCGACAGACACCAGGCAAGCTATCTTTGAGGGCCGTTGGTAAGAATTTTGTTGGGGGAGGGGAGAAGAGGGTCAGCAAATTTAATTCGAAGGGTCGAGCCCAAGGAACAAGATTTCCTCCTGTTATTACCTGCTGCCTCAATGCATTTTTCATGTTGATTGTGAAACCTGATTCTCAGAGGAACTTGGGATTTACAATATGATAGTGATATTCTAAGTGGTTGAGAGTGTCAGTGCATGCAGCTCAAAGAGCAAGAAACTGCTTGTTTTAGATTTTGCTTTCCAAAAAGCAGTCAGAGGGGTACACTTTACATGTTATGCCTGGATGTTGGATTCAACTTCAAGCTACTCATTGCCAGACTTATTTGCCACCTTCGTGCTCAGGGCAAGATTCCAGCGACAACCATTTGTCAAGCAATATTAGTCAATTTTGCGTGGGACCCATAATAAATTTAATGCAGAAGTTACCGAGGAAAATCAACCAGTAGCCAACAAATGACTATCACTTAAACTTGGCCATACATTTGTAGCAGTAAATGTATGTGAGGTAACTCTTTTTTTTATTGGTTTACACAGGCACATGTAGGTCAAATGCTTAAAGGTAAATTTACAAGAACGGCATACATGTCCATGTTCAAACTTCAAATTACATTCGGTGGCATACTGAACCCGTCGTCAACTATGGAAATATCTGTAATGTGTTGATTTTAATGCAGCATGTACATGTATCACATTATTTGTTATTCATTTGAAAATTTTACATATGTATGTAATCCTTACCAAGGGTACAATATGGTAGCTTAACTTCACAGAACATTACTGCTGAATTGTCTACAAGTTAACTTACCGGCTCACCCATCATTGTGTAGGATTTACCCGATCCAGTTTGCCCATAGGCAAAGATACAGGCATTGTAGCCCTCGAAGGCCGACTTGAGAACATCCTGTCCGAGATCGTTGAAAACCTGAACAGACGAGACAAAATAACAAAACAAGACGTGTCTGAATGTGCCATTACAAGGTGTTTTGTAAATTAAGAGGGAAACACTAAGATAATGACATGAAAATGAAAAACAAATGAACAAACAGAACAGGTAAGTTGTTTTGGAGGGGGGGTGGTGGCAGGGGCCTTTGAGACACCGATGGCAGCTAGACATACATGTACCAGTTAAAAATACTTTTAAAAATGCTTTGAAATACATGTACATGGTTTGAGGTCCCTTTATGTATCATATACACTGTTCCGTGTAAGAACAATTTTCAATTTATTATGTACAAGCAAGTTAAATTGTTTTTCAGAATGGCACTGCACTGGTATGATTTAAGAACTGGCTCAAGTGAGATTCACAGTGCACACCCCCAAGTGTTTCACAAGACTTCCTTCTTATGTTTCCTTTCCCAGAGAATGAGACCTGCCATGTGACAGGCTCACGATCAATAGGAATGGTAAACTGTCTCAGGTTTTAATGAATGAAAAAGAATAAATGAACTCACAAATGGTCTTAACTTCTTAAGACTCCTTTTGGGGGACCCAGCCACAATTTGTTGCAGATACATTGTACAAATGTGCATGATGCCGGTGCACGTACTGGTACACATGTACATGTACATAATTTGTGACTGAATCTACAAAATGAGTCATAAGGCCATTTTTAGGGCTGTACTGAATACATTTATCTGAAATATTATTGTTTTAATTTGAATATTCAAATGCAAAATTCATGAAAAGAAAGGAAAAAATTTCTTTTGTTTTAAACGAGAAAAATTGCACTACATGGAGGCTTGTTTCAAGCGAATTCAAATAAAAAGCAACAGAACTTTTACAATTCAAAAAGTACCGGTAATTCATTAAACAATTTAAAAGGAATTGAAATTTTTAACAGGGCAAGAAGAATTGTTCATCTCTTAAATCTTACTAAATCATTGCTGCAGATATTCCTAGATGTGAAAAGCTATTATCTTGATCATTATATACAGCTGTGCGCGTTATTGTAACTGATTTTGTACATCGTTTGTTCATCAAAAATCTGCCGGTCGGTACGATCGAATATTTGGATATTCAATCAAATTGAATGTTGAATATTCAAACAGTGAATGATTTGAATTGACTCAGCCCTACCAGTTTTCCAATAATTTTATTCTAAAGTGCAAACGGAGCTCTTTATGTATCAGTCATGTACATGTGCGCATTGGCAACTGTTTGGGGTTTCTCTTAATCTAGGGCCTACACTGTACATTGTGCAAGATTTTCTTAAGGCCTTTACATTGTCAGAAGTGGCTCTGGCAACTTCTGACTCATTTGATTAGGCTAAATGTTGGTCACATTTATAATTCATGATCTCGTTCTCACCTCTACATTTTAATACTTTAATGTACAAACCGGTATCACTCTGGCTGGTATACATGTACGTGTACATATATACATGTACATGCACCATTAGGTCTAGGATAAACTTGACAGGTCCTACATATCTCTACTGTACAATATTAAAAATTACTCTGCTAACAACTTGTGGCTCATTTCATTTACCGAGATGGGGCAAATGTACACGCACAGCAGGTTTGTAACCATGGTGCTCCATCAGCATGTTGTTACCCTGTACATGTACATGTATTCATCCCTAGAATGTTTAACACTGGGGTGAGATTGACCAATGATAAAAATAGCTGAAAAGGGACATAAAGAAGCTGGACTGTGAAAATCTCCTATACTTTTGTACACAGTCAGTGAGAAAAAAAAAGCTGAAATCCAAAGCAAAAAAGCTGATATCAACTACAAAGCTGAGAAATCTCACCCCTGGTTCAACAACACATTACACACACAGTACTGCATGTTCAATATATTTTGTCAGCTTTTTACCATACAAATGAATGCGAATACCCGTACAATTTGAAGATGCACCAGGAGATGCACCTGTAACATGTGTATGAAGACACTATTACTGTCTGGTTGATATTGGTAAAAGCAATTTCCATGTTGTATGTAAACACTGCTCTGACAAAAATTAAAGGCATGACTGCATTATCAGACTATCGACAGTTTATTGGTTGAAAGGTTCTGAGTGTCAATTTTAACCTTTGTACTTTGAAGCGGCAGTACATGTATCAAAACTAAGTACGTTTAAAATTTAGTGAAACCCATGTGCCCTACTTCAAACAGAGCATATTCAAACGGTCATCACTTGCCATCCATTTTATGAAATCCAAGATTGACTGGATAACCTATAAGCCAATGGTTACAATAATGGACAAACCAACTGAGGGTTTACAGGATTATTCAAGGGAGAGGCAACCTCCATCCCGGAGGAAGAAAAAACATTGCAAAATTAGCCTATCGATCCTGCGCAGAAGCACCCCCTCACCGGTTGAAAAGAGCCCACTTGGTGAGGAGTGTCCACTGTAAAGCATGCATTTCATAGTTGTTTGTGAACCAGTGAGTGCAGTTCCCACCAAAGGAGCCTCCACTGCTAGGAAAATTGCACCCTCTCTTTTGGTCCACCTCGGGCCTCTTTGAACAGATAAAACATAGCCTACAGGTACACTGTACTCTACATACATGTACATGTAACACATGCAAAAAGGGGTGGCACTGGAGTTGGTGGCCATCCCTCAACCAAAAAGTGTGTGCGGGCGGGGGAGGGGTATGTATATCCTACACCCCTCAATATTTTTCTGCCCATATTTACTCTCAATAGAGCTTCATGTATCTATTATTACAATTGATATACACGAATTCTGGTAGTGCTGTGTTTAATAAAGTTTTACTTGCAACAAGTTTGCATTGAGATTTGCTGCAGTTTCAAGTGTTCAACTATTGCAAGTTACAAAAATGCTGAATAAAATGCCGAATACAGTTTTGCCCGACTGTAGGGCATTCACTTAATTTTCTAAAATGCAACTACATGTACATGTACAATCATTTGCAAAAGTTTAAGACCACCTTGAATTTTATTGGTATTTTTGTCACTGGGCCTGCATTACACTGTTTCACTGAATGATTACTTAACATGTTTTTACAGCGGTGCATAACATCAGTGTAGTGCTATATACCAATTTGAATGAAATTTTTTACAAAGGCAGGTCTTGTATGACATTTTGTCTGCAAGGCAGCACGGGTTAAAAAAAAGCCAGTCTAAGCGAACAGAAATCAGGGAGGGCACACTGAATATTAGACTGTTAACATGTCAAATCATGGAAATGTAGTCAAAAATGTTCAACCAAGGTACCAAGGTTACACACTGAAAATAAACATATGGGAAAGTTGCCATAATTGATTGGTTTCAGTTTGGTTTTCCTTCAGTTTAATGCAGTTTCTATGGGTGGTCCTAAATTTTGCAAATGACTGTACCTGTAGCAGTGTCAATACGCCCTTCTCTCTGCCACAAAAGACAGCCAGGCGGCACTGAGAAGAATCGGGATCCAGCCCTTCGCCTGTTCAAAAACTACAGGTTATGTGTAGACAACAACTTTACCTTTTCCTGGGATGCATACTGTGGGTCTGATTGGTTGACTGACCAATATGAATAGTCATAGGTGAAGGTTTTGACTCTCTCTCGTCCAAGCGCCGCCTCTCCTTCCCCAGGATGGGCCGGTATCTGCAAAAGCCAGACATACATGTACATGTAATTGCGAAAATAGAAATGACCCACAGTGTAATGTACGCGTAGTAATGAGGAGACTCCATGATCTACATGTGTACATGTAGATGTGTACATGAACTGGTTGTGCATTACCTATATGTGAATATACCAGTACCAATATGTCCCGCATGTCATACTGTACAATGTACATGTACCGGTACATGTACATAAAACACACATGTGGAATACATACATGTACATGTACCGTACATTGTACACTTTCTGAGGGGAACAAAATTTTTGTTATAACATACCATTATGCTACAGTTTGTGAGGAATGTTGGTTTCAAGCATTTAATCTTTTCTGGAGCTGCATTTCCACTGGACATTTTTGATACATAAGTTAAAGAGACTGTTGAGTATCCATATCTGCTGTCAGATGGTCAATCGGAGGGCACTTTCATAAGCTCCTGAGGATATCATAAGCTTCTGAAGATACAAGCCACCCAAAGTTTTAAGCGGCAAATTACCGGTAGGAAATTTTCACTGGTTGGGAGTAATGAAAGCATGGATGCACAGAATAACAACCACGATGGAATGTGAATGTAACAGGGAAAAAATGGCACACTATGGGGAACTACATGTACTTTTATGTAAAAACATGTATTTAATAACATACTCATTTCTGGCTCTGCCACATTCCCCCATCTTCATGATCTTAAATCACTGCTGTCCTCAGCAATACAAATTCAAATGAATTTAGTATAAATATTATCACACGTTATACAGCAAAACATAACAACAGAAAACATTTATCATTGTATTAAATTCAAAGTACCAACCAAATATATGTACATTGTACATTCAGGCATTTACACGTACATATAGGTACACAACCGGTATTTAATGACTCATCATGTACAGGAGTCTTGGATCTCCTTCGGTAGAGAAATGGCAGGGGTGGACATCTGCAGTCCGGCCGTAGACTTCTGTTTCGACTGTTTCCGATGTTTCCTCACATACGCCATGGTCTCATTGTGAAGCTTGGGCCAAAAGAACTTCTGCTGCACAAGTTTTAGCACCTGTCCATAGCTTAGTGTCTCCATACTGTGATGAAGGCTCTTGAAGATGTCATACCTCATCCCATGGGGTAGCAGTGTCAAGTATTTGACCTTGGCTCCTCCAGTCTTGTAAAAAAGTTGGTTATCCCACACCTATAGCAGCAGCTGCACCACTTTGGGCTTTTGGGCCTACTTGCTAGGACTCATCCTCTTGGGACCATCCAGCTTCATATCCTTGACCCTCCTATGGCTGGATCTCCCTGCTGGACTTCCCGCAGATTGTGGCTACTTGTTGTGCCTCAACTCTTACAGTTTGGCTCGTCATCATTCAAGCATTGGCAGGGACTGCTTTTGGGTGTCTAGAGGGGACTTTGGGGGCTTCAGGACTCTTGGGTGTAGACTCTTTGATGGTGACTGGGGTTCCTGGAACATCTTTGGGAGACTTCATCTTGTCACGGTTCAGCATGAATTCAAGGTTGTGAATGTAGCTATTCTGTCGTTGCTGCTCGCCAATAATCTGGGTGATCATCGCCTTCAGTGTGTGGATTTGGTGAAACTGTTGCAGTATGACTCTCTGCATACAGGCTTGATGCTGCAGTGACTGCAAGATGCTGGACTTTTGGTCAACAGTCACTGGTTCCTCTAGGCAACTTCACGTGAAGTCATTGGGAAGTGGATCAAATCCACAAAACTGAAGGGTAGTCAGTGCTTCTGCCATCATGTCCAATCACAGATCCACAACAACACTGTGTTGGTTTGGACCTAACCTCTGACCAATTAACACGAAAGACCATAAAAAAAACTTTAAAAAGAACAAATTACCTACATGTAGTCCCGACTAAAACAGTTTCAAGCTCAGTTTTACAAAAAAACATATTCCCTACCCGGATCTTCCACCAAAAATAGAAAAACAAATGTAACAGGGAAAAATGGCACCCTACATGTATGGGGAACAACTTCTATATAAAAACGTGTATTTAATAACATACATGTGCTCTTTTCTGGCTCCACATGATCAACACACTAACTCACAGTAACTTTTTACAACTGTTAATTCAGTGCAAATGGGGCTCCATGTGAAACGCACTTGTATTTTCTTGCACCCACAAACTGGCACCTTAGTTATATCTTATTTACTACTTTAGCGGTACTTTCCAAATCCTCTCACAGTCGAGTATTTTGTAAGACTTGTAATTTTAAAAGCATGTATATTATTGACTTCTCATAGTCATATGGAGACAAGGGGACAAAATTATTTTTGTTCCCAAAACTTGGTCCTGAACTTCCTAAAAAAGAGAAGTTGGCAGGGCAGGCGCATGTACGGTACAGTACGTATAGAACTTGAGGAAGTTGTACATGTACCCAATTCCTGTGCTATCCTCGAACATACCGGTACTGGGAAATGTTGATTTTGGATGGAACTTCCTGGCTGGAATAACAGTTCATTTTAAGTCTCATCAGAAAACTCTACCTGTACACATACAGTCCATGTACATGCACTTACATGTACTGACACATGTTGTACAATGTACCGTACCAGTATGTACATGCACGTGTGTGGTCTTAGGGTATTCTCCTTTGGTTTTTGACCGAATCTCTTCAATAGGGGTCTACAATGTACACTAGTTGGTGCTCACACAAAGTATCCCTAGGTACATGTACATGTACATGTATATTAGGGTCCCGTTTTAATATTGGGTTATGCCCTGCACAACGTTATGCAGATGACAAAATCATAAAATAAATATTTATCATTTATCATTCACTGATCAATGTCTTCATGTTTTATTTTGTACACATACATGCACATTAAAAACATTTATCATACAGTAGATACAATGTACATGTACATGTAAATTTACCAGTCGGTGCAAACTTTTATGAATTCATTTTTTACAAGGACGTATGGCCTTACCGGTACATGTACTGTACATACTGGTTCAGTGTAATCAGTCCTTTTGAACTGTTCAATCTTGAAAGGTGCTTTTTGCGAGGAGCAGTTATTCAGGATTGTTGACAGACTGCAAGCTGCATGCATGTTGAGTGATAATCACAATATTTGCAATGCTGACACATCCCTTGCCATTAATTAACAATACAATGCACTTTGCCAAAAAATAAATAAATAAACAAACAATAGGGGCTATTAACATCCATCCAAGGTGACTGGCGGAAAAACATGTACACATACAAAATAAACAAAGACCTATTTTCCTTTCTGCCTTGACACAGCAGCTGGCCAAGCCAGACCTTGGAACTTGGACAATGTATCCATTGAACCAACAATATACAGGTAACTTTGCCTTTGGCAGTACATGTACACAGGTATGTAACCGTACAATGTGTACATGTACATGTGCAATACATGTACATCCTGTACATTTGGGCATACACTGTCGGAGCCACAAGGGCCCAACATCAGTTCTTTTAAATGTTTTTGTGTCTCCCTTGACGTTCCAATGCAGGGTGCTGTTTTCAAGGCATTTTGGATCCACTCTTCATTTTACACCTACTCGTACGGTGTCATCCAAGGCAGAAACAACAGTATAACAGCTACTCTTACATTATATTTCTGCAATAAAGTTTGCCCATTCTGTTATAAATAGTTTGCCCATACATGGAAGTGCTGACATTGATGGAAAATTCGGGGAAAAACCATCCTGAAATCAGAAAAAACCTGACAGATCTCACCGCTGCACTCATTAACGAACCTGTTCGATCAAGCATTGTACATGTACATGTAGTGGTGTAATGTACAAATTATGCACTGCACAGAGCTTTCAAATAATTGCACCATGATGTTTGGAAACCAAAGCAGATGGTCTCCACACTGGAATATCCAACAAAAGGAGATCCATAATTATTCCACAAAAGACCCTGCACACAGACATGAAAGTGTACAGTACCAGCAAACCATTTCAACTGTACATGGGTGTGTATGAAATTTGCACAAGGCGAAGATTCATGTAGTGAATTACAGTACACTACGCTACATGTACCTGCATTTGCCATACAAAGAGTTGTTTCATTTCACTGAAAGGCATTTTCCCCCATTTCCCCTGAACCTGGTTCACGTACATGTACATGTACATACCTGTACATGTACATGTCATAAACGGGCTGCTCATGTACGGGAAATATAGAAAAAGATTATTATACAGTACACAACAGGTCCGGCCAACTGACTATACTGGTTATCATCTTAAACTTTGGCTAGCATTGCTGGCTAAACAGATACACAAAACACAAGGAAACATTTTATAGGCTTATGAGTGGTGAACACTACCCTGGATGGAAAGAAGGCGTGTTGTAGAAATGCAGTCACCTTACAGTTACATGTAATTTATAAGTTGATTTGTGGGAAAATAAGTGGACAATGTAAAACTGTCTGTGTATACATTTTGTTTTATACAGAAAGTTGATGTTTTTTGTTGCTGAAAGTTCAATTCAACTTTGTTGACTGTTCACTACAAGCATTTGAGCAATGGAAAGTTTTCGCAATTCTTGATGTAAAAGTTAAGCTTTATTTTTCAAAGAAAACAAAACAGTGTTGCCACATCTTGAATTCTCAGCTCATACATACATGTACATGTACATGTACCGGGTACATGTACGCAGTACTCTATGCCACTGAATTTGTTAAAATACATGTAAGTTACATGTAAGTTGAGATCCAGCTATGCTACGTATGCTATGAAATTCCTTCAGTTTTTGAGACGTCATCCTTTCCCACATTGTTACACAGAGAGCACTTTTTCTAGTACACACAGCCCCCTCCTCCAGAGATTACAAACTAAAAAGGAAAAATGATCATTTCTATGCTGTTTACCATCATCATAATCAATAAATATTTTTGCACTGGCCCCCATCACTTCCCCAAGTACACGTACATGTATATACAGTACATGTACTGTACAGGGTGTACATGTACAGTGTATGTGTCTGAAATACATGTAAGTGTGAAAATAATGAAAAACTGAACACTTCTTATTTTTTTCTTAACTTATTTCATGATGCGTTACTTATTAACATTACATTGGTTACCCTGTGCATTACATGTACATGTCGGGTTGCAACATGAAATTTGGTCTCCCAAGAAATTTGGTTCTTCCCTTCATACTCACGGCCCTATTAAGTTAATTCCACACAAACGTTGGATTGGGTTGACAGGGTTGTGCTGTAAACAGTCTTATAGCCAACCATACTTTAGTGCAGGGACAATTACCGGTAAGTTATGGCAAACGGAGGGCGCAAAGTGACCGGAGTTTCACGCATCACAGCTGGGGGTTCAGGGGCCCCGCTTAAGGGGACTCTAGAACACTTTTTCAGTGAGTTTTTCTTTCCAAATTGATTAAGAGGTCAAATTTGATTAATTCTTCCAGGTAAAAATTATGAAATTTTCAAAGTGACTGATGTTTTTTCTGGGATTTTAAGGATTTTTGTGCCGGTCGTTGTACTGTTTCATCAAACTTACTGCCAGATGGTAGAATGCTGAAGTCAGGAAGTGGAGATCCCCAACCGGCATGGCTACATCACACTGGCTGTAACATACCGGTACATGTACCTCATTGAAATTTGTAATTCATTTAAACAAACAGATTTATTTTTTTTTCAAAAATGAAAGCGGACATGATCGGCTTTATCATACCATCACATCTGTACCATTATCTTTTAGTTCCACTTTCATTTTTGGCAAACCAGATAATGAGGTTGGTGAGGAATTCTGCATTTCCACTTCTGCACGGAGTTGCTGATTATTAGTTACGGTACCATTGTTCCATGCATAAAGTCGTGAGCAGCATGAATGGATGACTTGGTACATTATTGAATTCCAATTTCACACTACCCTTTCACCACAACATCGTGACAAAGAACAGAACACTTGGTCCCAATGTGACTTACTTTCAGGTTTGTTATGCTTGTCTTCTTTCCCTCTGTAGAGATAATGCAGGTTGAGCCCAAGTTGATTTCTCTGTGAACACAAACACAAACTTTTGATCAAACCTTCCAAACTACCGTATTCCGTGCCGGTGGTTAAGTTACATGTATACAATTAATAAAAAACAATTCTGAACAGTGCCTATGAGTCTCAGTGATGCCAACATCTTTCCACCGATTTCCTTTTTTTTTCACTAGCAGTGACGTTTTAAATGTTAGCCCATCCTCCTCCTCAAACTATAAATAATTCTCTAGCCCCTTACATGTACTTGCCCCACCCCTAAACAGAACAGCACCAGCAGATGCAGAGACTGGTGTTGCCACTCTCTGTGAATACAAGTTCCAGACTGATCACCGATGCACATGTATACTAAAGGCATGCAGTACCATGCACGACATGCCTTGAAGGTGGCAATCCTTATATTATCCTTTACTTGTTTGCTTCACTCATTTTTGAAATATCTACAGCCTCTCGATAAAGATCAAAATTTACAGCATGATCAGTCTTGACTCTCGGTTTTGTTTATACACTGCCACAGTTTTTACTGTTTACTGTTTTGGACATGCTTTTGTAGAGAAGACTGAGAGGATCAGAGAAAAGGCTTGATTCTTGCCCTGTTTTTACAGGCATGTTCTGTGATGTTGCATACCCCTAGACATAGAATTTTTAATTGGAGAGTGGATGGCGAGGGTGGGGAGGGGAGAAATGTTGCAAATACTGTGAAAGAGTTGATGTACATGTAGGCTACCCCTAGAACAATGGAGTACGGTATACCACAGTTCTAGGGGTTATTTGTAAGCATCATTTTTAGAGGGGTAAAACAAAAACCAGGACGGCATGTACATGTAGACCTATCAGTGTACATGTAGACCCATCAGTGTACATGTAGACCCATCAGTGTACATGTAGACCTATCAGTGTACATGTAGACCTATCAGTGTACATGTAGGCCCATCAGTGTACATGTAGACCTATCAGTGTACATGTAGACCTATCAGTGTACATGTAGACCTATCAGTGTACATGTAGGCCTACACCACGTTGGGTACAATTGGTAGACATTTGCAGGATTGCTCAATCTTTGCATGATCAGTGGATCTTATTCCACAATTTGTGGGCAATTTGGCTATCACCAAAATTTCCTTTTCTTTCCTTTCTAATTCGCCAAGTTCACAGCTGTAGAAGACTGGTTTAAAGAGGGGCGTAGGCCTACATGTAAACACTGAGCAGGGCAATCAGGGAACCATGCAGATCTGCCAATTGTGCTAAACAAGTACATATATACAAACATGTAGGGATCTACATTACATACATATCAATAATATAAACAGAGCAAAATCTGAAAGAATCCTATACGAATGCTGCTTGTGCATAAACATCAAACACATGATAAACTCTATGAGACTGGTACTAAAAGTGGTAGAGCCTTGGCCTCAGTGTGTTCTGAATGCTGGCCCTACCTCCTTATTTTCAAGTGCTAAACATGCTAAATTTGACTTTTTACAACGTATATAACCGGTATTTCATTTTAATGATAGATAACTGCAGGGAAACCTTAGTGGCGTCCATATAAGGAATTGTTAATCTTTCAGCAAGATTTTCAATATTGTTATTGGGAGCTTAGGCCTACATGTATGAATATGATTTATGTACAGTGTACATGTAAGGCCTACCGGTACAATGCCTAGCCCTACTGTACCTTTGATTGATCGGCCGCACGCGAACTGCAACTTTCACCGAAGCCATGACCAGTGATGGCAGTCAGTAGGCCTGAGAATAGTATCCGGTGACTCGATTCTTGGGAAAATCCAGAAAAAAATCAGCACTTTCTACGATGTCCTGTAGCACAAAAGCTTCACGGTATTCTATCCTGGTTCCATGTTCATTGAAACTGCTCACGGCAATATAAAACAAAGAAAATGTGCGAAAAACCGCAGAAATCTGCACCGCATGTTTTCAGGGCCACGACCTGTTCCACAAGTACTAGGGCCTAAATTATAAACATCTTGTGTGCATGCACACATGCAATAAACAGTGTGCTAGTTATTTCGAGACTAAAGAGGGCGCTGTGTCACATGTCACTTACACGGTTGTATGTCGGTCTTCTCAGTTTGCACTACACAAATACGCGACCATAGAAAACAGTGCAAAATCAGACCGAAATGGCGCCGCCTGGTGACTCTCGGGAAGAGGTTGGCCTCCTTTTTTTTCACTGGAAATTCAAGATAATGGCCAGAAGATCACTTTTCTTTTCAATTTTATTGAGGTTAGCCGTGAATCTTTTTTAAAATTCGCATCCCCTGAAGATACTCCCAAAGCAGTAGTAAAACTATGTGCTCAACTCTGAATGTAGCCGCTGGCCTGCTCTATCCAAAATAGGACCGCAATTTTGAGCTTTTTGTGAAAGAAACATCCCGAACTGGAAACTATCAGTCCCAAATTCGGGATTTATAGATATATTTCTACGATCGCTCCTGATTATGGCCTGTCTTATTGTAAAAATTCTGTGAGATCACAAAATATTAATGAGCTCGCGCGCAGAAATGCAACCATTTGGTGGAATGCACCCCTTCGCGTCGCCACAGCCCAACCTTCGCCACGTAAAACATCGGTCCGCTAACCAAACATAAGCCGAAAGTTTTACCATGCAGGCATGCACCTGTCGATAGTTTCCCCAAACCTTTCCAGGTCCTTGAATAGGATCAACACTTATAAAATAACAAATGCCCATCCCTGGGTCTCGGGCAGCCCTTCCTCTTTGCAGCGTGTCATTGGTAAAAAAATTGAAAAGTGGCTTAGCCCGCCCCGCGACCCCGGGCTTGCAAATCGTGACCATGATCCCCCATAGAAATACCCAGGGGGACTTGGAAAGGGGTAGGGAACTGACAGATGCACAAAACCTCCACTAGGCTGTAGAGATATTGGAGATCTTTGGGACATTGCTTACGTCTTTGATCATTTATCATAAGCAAGTCCTGTGTCAAATAATTGAAATGTGGCAAATAAACTTGAATAAATCAATTCCACCAAAAATATTGGAGCCCCCGTGGGGTGCATGTAGCCAGATCCCCTGGTATTATTTCAACACAGTACTACGTCAGTCCCCTACCCGTTTATTTGTTAAAGTGATGGCTTAGACACACGAATGAAAATTAAAAATTAAAATGTGGAATAAAAGACAACGGCAAGATTTTGCGCGACCTGATCACACAAACGAGTCACCGCTGCGAAGCTGTATCTTTGCTATAACGGTTGTTTGAGGCCTTAAAAATTGGCACAAACAGTTTGGATTGAGATTATACCTACAAAGTAATATGAAATTCAAAGCAATTTAACTTGACTTTTGAAGAACCGAACGCAAAGACAAAACTAAACGATTTTACTTTATTCACCCTCTTTTGCGCATTATACGGTATATTTTGTATTTATTTCTTAATTAAAATTGGAAAAACATGATAAAGCTACAAGATATACATATTTATAACATTTCTGGTATCAAAGAATGACAGTACAATTTATGCAAAACGAGGGCTCACAAAATGTGAGTATTTATATGCACGCAGGAATGCTAGCAGGGCAAGATCGACACTTGAAGGCTCTCGGAACTACACCAGAGCGACTTGGCTTCAGACTTTACTCTTTTCATGGCCGAACCCAGTGCAAATGTGTGTATTAAATTCGTCCGTCTTAACCGAAATTTGAGTCGACCGGAGTCGCTCTTTATCCTATTTGGTTCGACGCAACCCCAGAACGGGTGTATAGACGCTATGCATTGCATCCACACGAACATTCTTCAGCTTGACGCGCGCGTGCTTTTGGCAAATCAAGACACCCTACTGGTCGAAGTACCACCTATCGACGAGCTTTGCTCCATCGCAGTATTGGCTTCTAATTCTGGTTATCGATTCACACTACATATTATCTTATATGAACATCTAGGCCAACATGCATGGGGAAACAGCACAGCAAAACGCTCAATAGACCTTATGCACAGGGAAGTCATTTCAATTTGTGTTACCATGAAGCTATTATAGGTTGCACACCTCTTTCTCATTTGTTTCATTATATGGCTTAGATTACTGAGATATAAATTTTCTTCGATGTTAAATTCTTCATTAACATAAATGACATCAATTTGTAATTAATTCTTATTTCAGTGTTTCCACATTTATTCTCAGGTGCCAAAATATAAAAGGTCGCTTTCGATTCAACAGGACCGATTGAGGTCAGTTCTACCAACGCTCTACCCGTTGACAAAGCTCACCGTTAGAAATAACTAAACGCGGATCCGAAACAAAGTTCTGGAGAGAGGAGAAAAATCTTTTTCGAGCAGACAAAAAAAAAGGAATTATTTGTTTTCAGTAAATAATGCAGCACAGTCAGTTCCTGAGAAATACTCATCCTAAATTATACTTTGCCTTTTTTGTCGAGTCGTGTGCGACAGATCAGGCAATACAAAAAGAACATGATCGATGTCCCGTGCGAAATTCATCGCTGATTAGTATTTCCTGGACCCGTGGTGAGTGGAAACTAGTACTGAACTTGTTGAGCAGGCAACGATTACACATCATAAGTTCTATGCAACCATATTCATGTCTGTAGGCTTTGCTCATTTTACAGCATTCAACCAACCCCTTGGGGCGGGCTTATATTCACTGTGTGAATTCTGAATTCACACTTAAATGCATTACTTTGATGATAAAGGATCCCAGCAGCAAAGTAAATCATTTCATGTCTCAAGGAATCAGTCCCAAAGATCGCTCTTAGGCCTACTTGGTACTTTATTGGCACAAAAAAATCTCTTGCCGTGGTTATATATTCAGCCTGTCGTTTAGAGGGCCGGATTTCATTTGGTGTTTTTGTGCATCTTTAAAAAACTGATTCGTGAACCGCTTGGGCACCTTCCCCTTGTATCTGCTGATAGAATCTTTTAGATCCGGTCTTTTGCCTGTATACAAGGTAAGACACGCCTCCCAGTAGAACCAAAACCGATACGACAATGAGGGCAACAACTCCCCCAGCAAGCCCGCCCTCATCGCCCGCTGGTGGTTTATTTGGCTGCTGGCCTTGATTCTGGTCTGGATTCTGCTGTTGGTCGGACTGGTCCTGGTCTTGGTCCTGATCTTCATTTCCCGGGTTTTTCCAAGAAGGCTTGCTGTTCATATTCGTGTAAAAGTAAGGAAAGTCCTGCAAGAAATTGCGAGAAAAATGCCGACCTTCAGCACAGCTAACAAAATGTATCTCAACCTTTTCCCGCTCAATGTACCTTTACATCACAGCCTTGCTAAGGGAGAGAAATGTCACGATCACATTCTGAACTGAAACTATGAAAAACTGAGAATCGATGGCAAGTATTCTTCCTTTAAATATAGGCGTTTTGCCAGAATTGCGCAATTAAAAGACGTACATTGTATGTCTGATTATTAAAGTGCATATTTTATATTTAAAGTGACCCGCCCAGTGTTCGTTAACCGGGGCGGTTGATGTGATATTTCGACAAAGGTTGTGAGGGTCTTCGGTACCTCCATTACATCTGTTTCGATACAGAGTTCGAGCAATCATTGTAGTGTTGTAGTTGAGCGCATTGCAAGTCCATAACAACTCTGGATCGTTACCAAGTCATAAAGTTTTCAAATGCACCGTGACAAAAGCATTCTTTTGTCACTCTTCCACTACCCATTCTTATAACTGGTCTTATGACAGGACTTGTGACAAGTCTGGAGCACAACACTCATTTTAAGCAGATTTTCTAAACAGATGGACTTTCCAAGCTCAATACCTCTGATGGACATCGAACGTTCTCTCCAGGCGTCCAACTTCTGTCTTTGGAGCCTACTGGTTTGATCTATGTAAAGAAATGATCGATGATTAGTTTCTGGCGCAATTTATTCGTATCCAATGAGGCAGTCTTGAAAACATCGAAAACAGGCAGAACACCTGGAAAAGGATGCGTTATTAATGAGACACAATAGCTGCTATCGAAATGTGCGTGGCCGATATAGGCCGACAGTTGGATATACATATACCCACATATGTTTACTTCTTTTATTTCGCAAACATGTTTTCTTCTGTCAAAGCCGAGCATTGGGTCCTCATCGGCAATTAATGTAGGCCTATCTTGAGTGTCTTGCAGGTGACACGCAGGTTAACGAGTCTGTTGAAATCAATGGAGTACCGAAGTGTGACGTCACTGTGAACCAGAAAGTGCCGTGCAAACGAATGGAGTTGGTTCACGCGCTCATGCCTTTTACACACTAATTGTGCACGTGACGTATTCACTTCGGGACTCTATAGGCACAAAAGTTTGTCTTAATTAATTGGTGACTTTCTTCCATGCTCCATTATTCCACATGGTCCCCATAATAGCAGTGAAAGGCACAACCTTACTTATGAAAAGGAGTTATGTAGTTAGTGGGTAAAGTCCCATGACTGAACACAACTTCACCATGTCTAGAGAATTGGACGCTATCCAATTGTTTGATTTTTAATTATATGACACGAATACCTATCGTCTTGACACGTACTGCGGCAAGGCATCATCGGCAAACCGAATATTCCATCTTGCTGATAAATGGATATACCGGTTCACGTTGCCTCCATATGTACATGAAGTCTCCAGGGTCGAGTTCGGGCGGCCTGTTCTTGACATGGGTTTCTTGTTCTCGCGCTCGAACGGCGGGAACACGACTCAAGAACACTATTCTCGGTACAGGATCACACACCATTTCTTCGTCAGGGTTATATAGGAACACGCGGAAAAACTCGTGAGATTTAGATTTTGAACAGTTGCAAAAATAGAGAGATGGCTTACTAAGTCGGAGACAAAAAAGTTTTGCAAAATTAACACCAATTGTATTCCATAACACAGAAATGAATGTTCCTGCTTAAATAGAAAAGAATTCGGCCCAGTTATCCAAGCATTAACTCTCGAATAATGTACATGGACGACACCATGTTGCATGTTGCCTGTCACTAACTACAAGTGATAACGAATTGTACGTTCCCGGCGTTCGAGCGGCCGACCCAAGAACAACAATCAAGCTGTTCGTGAACATACGAGAACAAGCTACCCGAACTCATTCCATAGGATTTTCCTTGGTTCATATTAATGAAACAAATAGATGCTCCAACAATGTTATGAGTGATCAGTAGCTGATAAACTATCGTGCTCTTTCTTCTTCATAGTGGTAGCTGCGATGAATTTTCTTCGTCATAATTCAATGTATGAAGAATCTGTTTCCATTCGTATTTGGTTAAATGCACTGAAAATGCTCTAAAATCATCCATGCTTTTCTGTACAACTGAGGGCGCTGATGCTGTGAAGTCATCTTGGGAAGACATGGTTCAGTATACATAGGTTTTTCTGTTAACCAAGAGAATTTACTTACTGGAATCATTTCTGAGAGAGGGATTGATGCTTGCTTTAATACTGCTATGCATATAAACAACATTCAATCAGTAAAAAAGAGAACATTGAGTCCAGCAAAATCTACAAATATGTAGAACGTCTGCGTACAAACCAATGTAACATGGAAGCTGTCTTCCTGGGATGACATCGCAGTTTTTCTGATTAATATGGAATAACAGTGGGTATAAAAACCAAAAGACAGTGAAATATCCCTTTGTAATCGTAAAACAAAAGTTGGAAATGAAATATCCACTGCTCGTTCAAGAAAAAAATTTAAAAGCGGGAGAATCAGTGAAGTGAAGTTGCCGCCTCATCGCAATTTTGATTTCTGTGCAGGTCTCCTATGTCAACGACCTGCATTTTGAGGCAAGCCACTGAGCTTACTCACCATGTTATTCCAGGTAGCAATAGCCTGGGCACCATGGGCCTTTTGGCTAAAGTGGAAGCAATCTGGAGCGAAGAACGAAAGGTCAGGGGTGCCGTCCTGAAGAGTAAAACCACAGCACTGGTATAACATCATGAAAAGGCGTGGGCATGGCCAGAATATTTTGGGGGGACCACTATATTTTGAGGAGATTTCTAGGTTGGGGAAGCATTCATCAGCTCAGAACGGATAAACAATTAACAGAGAGACGGGGTACACTTTGAGCATTTTTTATCCTTTTCAAGCAAACAGTGATTTTCATCCCGTTTCATATGTCTTTAATTTGTATTCATTTCTTCCTCTTTTGTTTATTTTTTCGTTTTTTTTGGGGGGGGGGCAACCCTCTTGCCCTAGCGATGGCAAATTTCCGGTTCCACATTGTCATTGTACAATATCTTCGATACGGTAATGTTTTTGGTTTGGAATGATGACCTGTCAAATAAGACAATTTGAAAAAGTCGAAAAGAATGATGCATAATTGACATGGGTGTAAATCCCGTAGTGGATGAGGGTATATATCCCCCGCTTTTTGTGGTGAGCAAAAAATTAAAGCCGATTTTGAAGAATTTTTCGGACGTCCAAACGAGTACGATGCATTCAGTATTACTCACAAAGGGAAAACAATAACAAAAGCCATAATATGCCATTCTGATGTAAGATTCTGCATAAATGTACTTTACAGATGTACATCTGTGTCATGAACATAGCCCGCTATATAATGTCATATGATGTCAGCCCCCCCCCTTTTCAAATGTCCATGGTCGGGCAAGTCATTCCCAATCTTTCCCCATCCCCCCAATTTACGACACTGATCATTGATGTCACCTTTGAAGGTTCGATTATTTCATTTCTGAAGGGAAACACGGGAGTTACATACATTTTTTGCCAAGGTTGCGACGAAAGCAAATTAACATTTCCGCATTTAGGCCTACGCCACTGGGCGCGTCGCATTTCATGTACATGGTGCCAAATTTCATTGAAACAATTAGATAAATTCATATTTTATGTCCGTCCAAAACATGTACTATTAAAGGTGTATTAATTTTGGTAACACTGGCCCGTTTGCGTTTCCCTCTAAGAGCACAAGATTCAGTTTGTTCTGAGGATGCTGTACCCTACCGGATGTCGCGGTAGAAGTGTGTCCAGGAAAAACGGTTGGAAGACGGCGGCAAAATCATCTCGGTCGAATTTACCGCTGTTTATGCTATCTTGCAACAGAGTCTGTGGGAATGATGAAACACGCAAATCACTGTGCAGTGATGAGTTCAGGCAAAGAAAATATGACAGATAATAATAACTCTTTGGCTCATTTTGTCTTCGTTTGGTGTTTTACATTATGAAGTGGGTTTCTTACCTGATACTGTTCTGTCGCTTTTTTCATCATCGTTCGTCCGCTTGCACTCATTCCACAAGGGCAAAGAACTCTAAAGGCATGAGAAAAAAATGCAAGTGGACTTAAGAACTTTAAAATGATTTTTCTTTGATTCCATTGAAACTACAGTTCGTAAACTGAGAAATCTAGGTGAAATATCTTCCTCATTTCAACCACTTCCAAGTGAAACTTTGGCATATACTCTGCATGCATTTAGTTCCCTGGTTCAAAGTTAAGAATTAATGTACGCCCTTTCCAAAGTGTCCGACATGCCGAAGTCATGGCTTGCAAAGAGTCTGTCAGTATCCTTATTTGGCATTTGTCCTTCAATTTGAACGGAGTGTCAAGTTTTCCTCCTAAGATTTGCCAAAAAGAGTAAGGGGTGATTTGTCAGAATAATTTAAAGATTTGAGTCCTTACAGGGGCGGCTGATGGCGCGAGCGATGTGTGACCCACTCATAATAACGAAGGACAAATTGCGCAGGCAACACGGAACAGTTTTGCTTTGTGTTACCAACAACATATTTCAAAACCTTTATATCGTCCCATTTTGAAACAGCATTTTGCCTTCATTTTTCACAGGAATGGGGGTTCCATGCTGAACCCGTTACTGTGTTGCGGAATAGGGTTCTAATGATCTAGAATGGCTATACAGTCACGAACAGCTCCAGGCTAGTCAATGTGCCAAAAATTGCCTGCGAGGACCGAATCACGATTTTGAATGCTGTCAAATTCTGTGATTCCCTTGCATGTGGACCGGATGATTTTTAAGGAAAATGTAATCTGCCAGTAGGATTATCAGCTTGTAATCCTGAAAGTATCGGACCAAACGGGGCTCCCAAATCGCTCTATTTTTGCAATAGAGTGTAGGCCTCCCTCATGACCGTTTTGAGGGATGATTATCACTGGAAAGAAATATCTTCAAAATCTATCAGTTAAGCATGTGAAAATCAAAGGAAAAATAAAAGATGAGGAAGCGAGCGTAAATTGGATATGTGTCTTGAACACCTGAGAAACCTGTGCGTATTTTTCCTGATGTTTTGAAACATGTGTTTATCACTGTTATCTATGGCAGCTTATCAACGGGTCATCAACCTGGCCTTACAAAAGCAGGAGCCAGTACTATCATTTTACATTTTAAAATGTAACTCTATGACCTCATCTTAGAAGAAAGAGTACATCAGGTGCAAGGGCGCCGCCAGCACTTTATCAAAGGGGTGGGATTTTTTTTCGGGGGGGGGGGCAAAGCAATCATCAGCAGCAAACTGATAAATTATGAATGGCAGACAGCGGTCACTTCCAAGGTATTTTGGCATCAAATTGGTAATTTCCACCCCATTTCCTCTTTTTCATTTCTCTCGCTCTTGAAACTTTTATTTTATTCTTCCTCCAGGGATGGGGGTTTACACCTGCTTTCTTCCCCCGTGACGCGGATGTAGAGAACAATCCCGAGAGAAAAAAATCGGCCAACATTTCTTCCTTGGTAATATCTACAGTGTACTCTGCTTGGAAAGGTACCACAGTCACGTCATACTGTGTAAATTTAAGAAAAAAATGGAGAAAAAATAATTTTAAAATGACTTGCTTCGGTGATGTAAGATTAATGCCTGGGGTTTCTGCCGGGAAACTTACTGGTGTAAAACATCACAGACAAATCCTTTAATCTCGGCTACACGCCACGCCTCCAGTATGCCAACGACATTGACAAACATCCGGGGAATCTGAGAGGAAGGGAATATCACAGGAAAGAGCAGGAAAGAGACATCAGGTCTATTTAGTAAAGATGTTGTTTCTCTTTGCAGATTTCCACATTCACCACAATACGATGTTCCTTAAACTAGTTCCCAAATTTTCTTGGTATCCGCTTTGAGCAGAAGAACCTCTATTCGGTTGAAAAGAGCCACATGTCAGGAGTGTTCATTTTGCTGGTACATAGCAACGCGCCTGTAACGCGTGCTTGTTATGGTCGTTTGTGAACTAGTGTAGTGCATGTCTGACCAAAGGGGCTCTGTTGCTAGGAAAATGGCGCCCTCTTTTGGTCCTCCTCGGGGCCCATTTCCGGGCACAATTATTCTTCTTCACTTCTACACACCTATACGCCGTCTTAGACATAACCTCATAAGTGAAATGGTGGCTATCAGCCGTCACTATTGTTAACATCACCTGTTTTGGGCGAGCGCAGTGAATAGATAATATCTGCCCAACCTCACCTCAGACAAAATCTGTATGGCCTCTTCCACATTGGCCACGTAGTTCTCCGGCGAGAAACGTTCGGGATTTTTGCACTGTCGACACAGGTCGTTCCCGCCAATGAACAGGGTCACCAGCTTCCAGTCGTGATCTATATCGACAAATGCATCACTACGCATGCGCTCAATCAGCTTCCTAGCCTGACCCGGCATGTCTCTATGCACACGAAAAAATATTAATGACGAGCCAAGTTGTAAGTAAAATGGACATTAAAAAATGCTTATGTTTAGGTTGACCATAACATCACATGTTTTAGCAAAGACTTCTTGCGCTTAAGTGGAAAGCTTTTAATTGTTTTATCATTACAGGTATGAAATATAGGTCAAAAAGACTGACTCATACCCATCAAAATTAAACTTTTGAGCGGTGAAACTGGAAGTAAAATTGTGCAGAGACTTTTAATGAAAGAATCTGCATAACGCTATATAGTTTTTCTCCAGTTGTGTCGCGTCTCCACAAAATGTGGTTTATACACAGTTTACAGATATAATTTTCAGTCATTTTGTTCTCTATATCACTGGCTGGGATGAAATAGTTAACTGATGTCCATCCGTCATGACTGATCAGAGCAGCTTTCAATGACTTACTCTGCAATAGCTCCCGGCTTTGCCACGTTCAGCCGAGACCTCGGATTGTCCACGCCTCCTGTACCCGTGGAATAACCGTATATATACCTGTTATACGCCTTTAGAATATCTGTTGAGGATAAAATGAAGTAAAAAAAAAAAAACATCAACAAGAACAGAACAAAGGCAGCTTGACATCCCTCTGCATTGGCAAAAACGACAGCAAGTCAACTAACAGAATGCTTGGAATAGAACCGATTTTAAGCTCACTTAATTCTCTAGAAATATTCACTACACTTGACAAAGTCCGGGACAGACTGTGGAGATGTGGTATCTTGAGAACTGAAGAGGATGAGTGACCGCGCTAAAAGGGCCATGAGTAGTAATTTCAACAGCTTTATTTCTATAATATCTTACGACTGGCAATATGTAATAGGTAATATCGTACGACTTATAACATGCAACAATTTCAATAACTTATTGTAAACCTATGGGCGCATCAAGAAACTCTAATCGTGACAGCTGCAATACATAGAGAGCAGATAGAGCATGGAATTCTTCCATAGTTCGTTGGCAAGGGTACCCATTGAAGTGGCACTTTCAGAAGAATGAACACTCTGAATCTGTCAAACTCACTGGGAACTGTGATGACGCTGGATATGTCCTGGTCGCCCCCGATCCTGTTAAATCAAACGGATTGCATTGTTTCATAAAACCTGGAAAAATATTAGCATGAGAAGTGCAAGCAACAGAATCATTGGTGTCACAAGGCGGCAAAGTGGCGCTCCCCCATTCCTTAATAATGTGAAAAATAAAACGGAAAAAGGGGAATAGCGAAAGAAATGAAAAAAAAATAGGCCTACGTGACAGGGGATTTAAATCATCAATCTGCTTAAAAATCTCCCAAAATTGTCCCCCATCTGCCTTTTATTGTTTGTTTTTTAGCTGATGAGTGCTGTGTCCCCCTTAAAATTTCCTCACTAAAAAGACGTTTGCCCCCACTATAAAAATATCCTTCTGACGCCAACCAACATAGCCCCACAAGTGACTGCATGAAGAGGAATTAATATGACAATAGCAGTTAAATAAAGTACAGGTATAAGAACTTAACATTTGGCTAGGAACTGATGATGTTATTGGATTGTCTTCTTATTCGACACGAGTTATGTCGGACACTGGACGTCAAATTCAGTTTCTGTATTTAAACTTTTTTCTTTCATGTGTCATTTTTGATTGGAGTTTGTCATTTTCAAATCCACTTCCGATAATGTTGGGTCTATTTTGTTTTCACTTACGGTGCTGACAGGCCTCTGTACTCTATGGCAACCCCAATGAGCGTTTTTGCACCGGCGCCATTGGCTGCCTAATATGTGTAAAAAATACAATAAGTAGTATGCAATAGTAGGACAATGTTGGTGAAGTTGTGAAAGGTTTATATAAATTAAGGTCACGTTGTGGTCAGCTGAAAGGGTCTAAAGCAAGGTACAGTACATTCATTAATACAACAATACCTTATTTTCAATTTTTGGGTTTGCTACTTTTCGCGACAGGGCATTTTCATGCCTTTTTTGTTAGTAAGTCTTTACATATCGACTGGCAAAATTGTCATGGCATTGCAGGAAAAAAACCGTTGCAATTATTTGTGGACAAAAACTTCTGGAGTTTTGAGTATATCAAGCTGGCCTTAGTATTTTATTTTTCCGTGTCAGTAAATGGCCATAAGCTAGAAGGCGACAATGTTTTGGAACTAATTTTGGATGCACAGTAATTTGAAGAGTATGCTCTGAACAGTGTCTTTGCGGAATGAAGTCACGCAAAAGCGCCCTCGGTTGTCAAGAAAAGCACGGACATGTAAAGCAGAGATGTCGCACAGTTTTCAAAGATCTACCCTCAGATCAGTGCGGTCATACGCCAACTCGCACGCGTGCCTTGTTCTCGAATGAGCGCGTCATTTTGAAAGACCACTAGCTCAATGTAAACATCTGAACTAGCATTCGTAAATATTACATCTATAAGAAAAATAATTTATTTTTGGCCAGCATGTATTACATGTATATCTAAAAAGTAGGAACATAGGCCTAGACATGCATTGTTGGGCAAAAAACTTACTGTAAGAGAGTCTCCTAAGGCGGCAACAACGTTGAAATCACCAGGACGCAATTTGTTCACTGAAAATAATAATAATAAAAAAGCAGTGACGACTAACGTTAGTATTACGAATAATTGCAGCTGTTGATAATCTAGTTAACAGTGTTAAACAAAATAGAGCATGAAAGTAAAAGGTCACGTAGCGAGCTTCCGGAACCCTTGCGCGGTCTGCCTATATATATTTTACATGGGGCCGTCCAATCACGTTTGATAATTTTTGAAACACTCATGTTGGAACTTTACCTTTGTTTTCCTCAAGTAACATTGAGGAAAAGTCACCTGGAGATCATTAAAAAACGAATTTCATTTACGACCTTTCACTTCCAGCAGTATCGTATCTAAATTTCCTTGTTCACACGTTTGTTTCCACTGCCCGTGCTAACGTGAAAACGAGATTGTACAACGTTTCAAAGATTTATCTACCTGCACTTGATGGGTTCTAGATTCCGTTAAGTTGACAAGACGCAGCTCTTGTCAGCAAAGGTTTAATAAAATATTAGCATCTTTCTTAAAAGTACATATAGATTAATGCTTTAAATTTATTACCTAACAAATTACAAAATTCTGTAAAATGTTTGGATCTGTTTTTATGATTTACCGACAGGCTACCATGAAATTTCGAACCGTAAATGTTCATCTGCGTACAAGACGTGCATCCGCAATGCACTTTTCTTCATGTATTTTAGATTTTCTTGAAGTGATGGGTCAATTTTTGGCACGATACACTATGACCATGTAACAAAAGAAGTACGGTGCACTAACAATGGACGCTCATTGTTAGTGCACTGTGTTTCATTTATTAGATGTTCGTAGTGATATTTCTCTTTGAGGTTAGGTAATTGTTCAGTTTCTATAAATTGATATACTAGTATTTTTCAAAGCTTTTTTTTAAAAAGTAAGTGAACGAAAAAGTATGAATAATTCATATTGTACATTATTTTTCCTATCCAAGGGTTCCGGAAGTGCGCAGTCAGGGGTCAACTTTCAGGCCCTATACATTCGACGCCTACATTGCCTACAAAAAGTCGAGAACATTCTCAAGATTTAATCTGAAATTGGTCACATTATTTGCAATCGACAATGAATGAGAAACAAAAATCTGTCCTGTTTATTCACGAAAGAGTGAAAAATTAGTCTGACCTGAAGTCGGTTTAACGGGTGACACTGACGGCTCACAGTGGAATTTGGCATCCACAGGTATCTGAGTTTCAAGAATGGAAGCGTTAAACAAAATACAAACTACAGGCTTTAGAACGGGATTGGCGGCTTTGTACCGAGAAAGTTCAAAACTTACTCCAATCCTCAGATTTAAATATACGTATTTAGAAAAAAAACCAAAAAGTGTTGGAATTGGTCTTTCGCTTTAAGTCCTCTTAAAATGCTACACAAATAACTTGGCGACAGTTGAAGCTGAAGGGCTGGCTTATTTTTATGAGATAGAACACGCTCAATATACGAAACACCTTCAGGTTGAACCCCGGCTAGTTTGTATTGAGAAAGCAACATTCTCTCATACTTACTTTCGACGAATTTCGGTTGAGCTCGTCAATTGGTGACGGATCTCCGTATCCATACTTATCCAGAGTTTCTATAAGTGTGACATACTCATCCCAGAAACCTTTAGTTCCAAAAAAAGAGGCAAAATTAATCTCAGCAGATGCAGGCCAGATTCCAATCAGGGATCTATCGACCCATGCTTACAATGTTATGACAGTTTCTTTTTGAGACACTTCTTTTCCTTTCTTCTTCGTTCTGATTTTGCTGTCAAGTGTTTATTTCCTACATGACGGGTATATATTTAGGGTCAAGGGGGCGATCTTTTTTTTGCAAACATTTAGGGCCCAGCTGTATATGGAGAGACTTGCGCAAACCACAGACTTTGGAACCAAAATGGTTGTTTATTATGTGCAGGACAGCATGCAGATATTGTGTGCTAACTGTTCATGTGCGGTGATGCATAATCCAAGAGCAGTTCCAGAGCCATTTTTGGAGGGTGGGGGGAGACTCTTGGCACGTAACGTCACCTTTAACTTTTGCTACTGCAAATCCATATTTTTATGGGGGGGTGGAACTGCGCCTGGCAAAATTCACTAGTTTGATTCCAACAATTGAGACACTCGTGTTGCAACTCTCTCACTTAAACAGCTCTGTTTGTTAATATAGTGCTATAGACAGCGTGAACTGACCAGTCACCATGCACCTAAGATCCCAGTTTTCCAGATTGAGTTCCCACATCTTGAATATTTTGTCAAGAGCAACTAACTCTTGGTTTATCTTTTCCTTATCTTTTGCTTTAGCTGTCCAAGGGAAGTTAACGAAGACGCAGTATCAGAATCATTACTTATCAGAATACTTTATTCGTCAATTGAGTTCAAATTAGGTTACACTCAACGTCAGCTAAAAATAACCACGTTTCCACACACATTACTCAGATAAGCTGCAGTGTTAATGCATAATGTTACAAAGTATGCCAATCTGCGTGGCCCGTGTGGATGATTCAGCTTAGCTTTCCGTGTCATCTATCTCTTCATTGCAAGTCTTGCCATTTACAGGTTTTTGCAAAATGAAGTAAGATCGATTTTGATGGATTATTTGACAACGTTTGGATTCTAATCGTGGCTTTATGACTAAACTATAATAAGAGTTCCAAGTTGCCAGAGTAACATTTGAGCTAAACCTTTCAAAGAGAAGCTTGAGCAGTGATTTTCATGAAGATGGGAAATTAATAGATACATCAAAAGAAGGAGTTCTTTTGCTTTTTTAAACCCCGCCTCACACCTGAACTTTTTTAAATTGAGCATGGCAACTGTCTTACGGTCTCACGTGGCGGAAAAGTTGCAAAAATTTACATCGCACTCTAATTTTCGTGGTTAGCGAAGGGCGGGTGAGTTTCTGCTGAGCAGAGAGCTCTCAGTGTCTTCGTGGCAACTAGCACAAGCCCCCCCCAAAAAATTAACACTTGTGCAACTTATGTTCTCTTTCAATGAGTGAAAAATGTTTGACATCATTTGTGTAAAGTGTACTGAAAGGTACTTTTTTTGAAAGCTTATAGAATTGACCCAAGGGATTCAGGGCCCGTGTTGCCGTGTTGTCATTAGAGGAAGACGTCGCTCAGTTTTTGGATTTTCTGTTCAAAATTGTGCGCCAAAAAGTCCGGGAAAAGGTTGCTTATTGGTTTATTGCAAGGTGTACTTACACAACATTGAGTCAGTAAAGAAAAAGAAATAAAAACAGCAACACACAAGAAAAGGCAGTTGTGCAAATATCAACGTCTGCCTGAAATGACATAGTTTGAAAAGTCAAACAGGTACCAAAATGCCATGATTGAAAACAGCGAAAGATTAAGACTCAAGACTTTATTCTGCACAGGTGTGTCAGAACAGTCCATTGCCAAGACACCGCAGACTTGCTCTGTGGGTTCCCGTCTCATTATGTAAATTTTTGACTTCATGGCGTTATAAAAAGTGTCATCATCTCCCTCTTTCGTGTTATCGACATCTAAAAACGAAACAAAACAATTAAATACACTCAAAATGAGAGCGCAGATTTAGAGAGCGCCAGTCATCGAAATAGTCGCTTCATGGTTATGTTAAATTGTGATATGATTTTCTAAAATTCTTCACATGTCGCCCATTTAATAATTTGAAGAAAATGGGTAAATGGTCTTTGAAATGTTAGGAAAATCATGACGCACAATAAAAACTGTGTTGCCTTTTTTGAAAATCAATATCTCAATTGTCATTCTTACAATAATTATAATATTTTCCATTTTCATGACAGCGTAACTCCCGTCATAGACATTCCAGAATAGTTTTGATAGCATCATGGGGTTTCCACAAATTTTATACATAGAACACAAAAGAGATAAATTTCACCAGGTGGGGTTTGCCAGATCAAATCACAATTTGACTAATTCTAACTGCAAACTGTCGACTTCAGCTGTTACAGTGTGAAAGTGAAAACTTGAATCTCAGTGACTGTGCATTCCCCATCATACTTGAACATAGTAAAATGGTAAAAGAAAAATGCCCATGCCATCTTGTTGTAATGAATGATTCTCAACATAGCTACACGTATGTGAGGTCTGTATTACCACATGCCAGGTAGTGCATGCGTGTTGATCGTCCCAAAGACTGCAGCTTAATTTTGACAGCTCAGGTGATTTAAATGTGTTCATAAAACAATCTGAGCGTTTTTCATGACTGTGCCCAACGAGGAAGGTCAAGATAATTCGGAAAATTTTTGCCAAACGCCCACGATCCGTAAACAACCTCCTCCCCTCATACAATTTCCGCTCGTGAAATTGACAAAATAGACTACCTAAGCCTAATCCTTAACAACTTTCCCACAAAAGGAACAGATTTAAATCTGCTGACCATTATTGTAACATAGGCTTCACATATTTTATAAATATTGTGCACAAACGTTTACATCAAAATATATCTTAAAAGCAACGCAAATTAAAATAAATACGCTCAAAACGTATACTTGTTCCGAAATGAAGTGTTTTAAAGAGACCCATGCACCATGCTTAACGTGCGTAAAGTTCTTGCCTTCAGTTCATTCCAGAAATTATCGTAGTCTTTGAATGGAATAGGGTAGAACCAGAAATCCTATACCTGTTAGCCCCTTATACCGTAAAAGTAAATCGTCCTAAAATATGAACAAAAGACGAGGGGAACTTACTTTCAATTTCGTCAGCAACCGAAGCTGTGATGACCAAGCAGAAGACGGCCAACTGAAGACCAAAAATTCTCATCTTGGTCGGTAACGAACGTCGGTCTCTTCCCAATTACAATTACATGTACGAATGATTTCAATCTGTGCGGTACAACTTAATGTAATCATATGATACGGTCAAATACTGGCAGATCTTCTATTGAACTTTGTACCAATGGCAATATTTCAACTCTTCTAACCTGTTGTACAACAACGTGTGGCAGGTCAGACTGCATGAGTCCTCAAGCACAAACAATGATCTGGTTACATAGTGTACTTCAATATATTTAGCGCTGTTCTATTTTAAGATTTTTCACCCGTCACGAGACTGTACTCTGTGCATATGCACCTCCGGTTCCCAAGCACGAGATCATTTTCGTTTTGTGGAAAATAGATGCAATGGACAACGCATATTTCCTTGTGTGTGCCTGGGCAGTTTCATACGCAGCTGTTCAGAACGGTACCGTCGGATAAGCCAGAAAGCACAGTAAAGAATCGCTCTGGTTTACGGTGGTTTATCGGGCCACTGCGCGGAATTCTGATGCCGGAATTCAAAAACCATTGGAACGAGCGATAAACGATTGTGCACACGGTGACTGAAAATGATTTTCAGCGCGATGTGCTACATTTAAGGCCGGTTCATACTTCACACGAATGCAAAAGCGAGGCGAATTTGACGTCACGAAACATTTGAAGCTAAATTTTGCCTAAGTTGCAATGTGTTGAACTTTACAATTACGCGAATGTTTGATCTGCCCTCACAAATTCGTGTTCCTATTCGCTTTCGTGTGAAGTATCAGCCAGCCTATAGGATACATACAAGACGGAAATCATCGCTCGATCGGTGCTCCAACTACACGTACGCAATGCGGCATTTCGGCTATTCGGCAAACTTGAATAGTAGTAGACAAAATGGTCGTTGCCGCGAACGTGCCAATTCTGACGTTCTACGACACCAATAGCGCCTCACTCTGGGGTCTCAAAGACGACAGAAAATTAATCATCATGCTACTAGCCTGAAAGGAAAAAAAATCGTCCCTCTCTCAATTTTTTTACATTGAAAAAAGTTATGACTCCGTTTTGGGAGCAATGGCGCCTTGTACCCCCTTGATCTGCTCTTGTCTAAGTGAACAAGATCAGAAGAGCCTTAAGTTTGACCTACATTGCGCGCTTCCAGAGCCCCCTAATGGGAAAAAGGAGCAGGGCCCTAAAGATTGCCCATGAAATATCGTGCCAAGACGTTTAGTTAAATCTGTACGTAAGACAAAATGTCAATTTTTTCCAAGCTTTTTTGTCTGCACTGTATTGCCGCAACAAGTTTGGGTGTTTGTTCTTGCAACGGCGTAAAATGCGAATGTGACTTGATGTTGTGGACAAAAAAAATTAAAAGCCTTACAGGCTTGACATCCTTGATTTTATTTGCTGGTGTTGTTTACCGATTGTTAGTTCTTGAAACTGAGTTTCACAAACTAACTTCCACTTGCAAACGAGTGTCAGTTTGTGGTGTCGGCGATTTTGTAACAATGAGTGGAAGTCGATGTAATCGTCGAAGACGAAAGTTACAATTTTATTTTGTGGCCTTGAGTTAAAAACAGAGATAAAATGGCCCAAGTCGGGTACAAATTCAAGAAAATAAACCGTATTCATGTAAAAAAAATCGCTGACAAGAACTGCATCAGGTCAGCACAAATCAAGAACCTATCATTGCAGCGATAGCGCAATATACTCTCGTTCTCATATTCAGGTGATAATGCGTTGAGGGAATTGTTGTATGTTTCTTCTGCAAACATCTTCCGTTGTCGAAGTTTTGGGGGCAATTGCCATAGCTCGGGTTCGAGTTGAAAGCGTCGTGGAGTACTACATCGGAAAAATGTAGGACCTTCAGTCGTAAAATCAAGAATTACCTGTTCAAGATGTATGAAGATGTTGCATCTATTTGTTATCACTATTTCAGAAATAATGTACAGAAGTAACTTTGAGGAAACTTGTGGTTTAATATACATTAGATATTATAGGAAAGTTTAAGGAAGTTTTCTCTTGACAGCACGAGCCCTTTTGTTCTAAGGAGAGCGCATGACATGGCAGTTTATATTGAAAAGTCCACTTTTGTATGCAACAATTCTTCATGGCCCATGCCAGTAGAAATTGGTTGAGACTGTTGTAGTAAGCTCGTGGTGCCCAAGTTCTACACCAAATATTTTATCAGCTTAAGGTGTACTTGTGCTTGTACTAGGAATACGCTGTTCCTGTTCACTGTGATTTTGATGAGTTCTGGAGATCTAGAAGTAAGCTTCCATGCACAGAGTTTGTACAGCATGGTCAGAGTCACTCAGGCATAACCAAACAGAGATTAGCCAGTGTCCGATAAGGCCTAGTTTATTGGAGATTATCGACTACTCCTGTGTTGAATGTGGCAACTCAGAGTCGATATTTCTTTATCTGGAACTGGAATCGATTTTTGACTTAGAGGGTTTTCATTTAAGTAACTTTTACTCTGTGACCAATATGCAAAAGGTTTAGGCTTTAAAATTAGTAAACTCTTAATACAGAGCAGAATGACATGTACACATTTGAGGAATTTTATGAATATTTTGTTTCTCTTGTATTTTTTTTTAATGTTCACTCTGCTGAATAATTATTTTACTTTAAGCTAAGTTACAGTGTTTCCCAACACTACCGATTTGTTGTTTAGAATTTTGGATTTGAATTTTATAGTTCTTGTTAGTTAACCAAAACTGTCTTTGGGTCATTCTGACTCTATGCTTTGACCAGTGAGCACATGAACATTGACTCCTACACCACTCAACCAGTGTCCACTTTGCTGTGTCATTTTTACAGAGTTCATCATTTTTAATGGGCATCTCGGAGTAGCAACTCTCTTGCTACCTGGGGTGCAACATTTGTACTGAGGCTAAATACAAACCGCCATGCACTCGTCCAGGACAAATGCAGGGCTTCTTGTGGGTGTTGTCACCCACAACGTGTCTGCGACTTGTTCCAGGCGAGTTTTGAGAGGGTCCATTAAAACCAAAATGGCTGCTCATAATGTGTGCAGTTCAGCATGCAACTATTGTGTGTTCAATGATTTTGGTTCCAATAATTAAGACACGCATGTCACTACTCCCTGTGTAAACAGCTCTGTCCTTCACCTAAGGCATTACAGTATCCAGTGAGGGAATTCGAAACCACCTTGCATGATTACATCACATTTTCTTTATATATGCAGGCCTATGCATGAATTTAGTTATTTGCTTCGTTTTTAAGTACCACTTGACCTTTACTACAATTCCTTCACACAAAAACATTTTCGAGTCGGGAATTCCAAGTGTCACGCAATACTTGCCGTTAAGTGTTAAACAAAGCGGGTAACGGTTCCCATATACTGCTTTGTAAATGCACACTGACTCTAGCTCTCGCCGCGTTGTCGACTGTATTTGACAGAAATAACTCGTGACATCATTTGGCGGCAAACGGGATTCACCTGCAACCTATAAAATCCCGATTGCCGCCAAATAATGTTACATGTTCTTTCTGTCACATACAGTTGACAACGCGGCGGGAGCTGTTCAGTGTGTGTCTACAGAGCAGTATTTCTTCCACCCAAAGAGCAGATTTCCAGACCAGATACGCCACAAAAGATAAAAACTATCAAGAATTCCTCACAGCTGTGCACAGGACTGCCAAGAAATGGAAGAATTTGTTAAGCTTGATGTAGGCGGCTACCTTTACACCACTCCACGCTCTACCGTCACTCGTTACCCTGAGTCCATGCTAGGGAAAATGTTTAGTGGGAGAATACCGCCTGCCATTGATGCCGACGGGAGGTATCTCATCAATGGAGACGGTTCCGTCTTTTGTCACGTCTTGAACTATCTGCGACGGTCCAAGCTCGACCTCCCGGGAGATTTTCAAGATTGGGACCTGCTGGCTACAGAGGCGGATTACTATCGGATTGAAGATCTGAAAAAGGCAGTTAAGACAGCTAAGGAGGAGATGGTGACCAAGGAATTTGTGGAAGTGACATCCTACCATAACCGTGATGGCCAAATCAACGGTTACCGTGGGAGCACGGAAACATTGCATCAATTAAAGTCTTTTTATAATCTTGGGTCCATTGAGGTTTCAAAGAACAGTGGTGGGAACTATTTTGAGTTTTTTGAGCGTACATATCCTCAGCGGTTGGAGATTTTCAGGACATTGTCGAAGCTTGGGTTCGAGTTGAATACGGTGCGGAGTATTGATTCAAAATATTGTTGGACCTTCAGTCGTAAGGTCAGGCATTAACTTCAGATGAGGACAAGTCATAGCGGTGTAAAAGCGCAACGCCGAGCCCGACAGACATATCAGCCGTACAAGAGCCGTGGCCTCCTATATACCAACAGTGCAGCTAACTGTCCGTCAGCGCCACAACGCGAAGGGAGCCGATTCTCTGCCTTCTTCAAGCGTGCAACTTCGTCCCAAAGTTGCTTTGTATCAACCATAATTGCTTGCTCATGCTTAGATTTCAGTTAGTCATGTAAATGGAAGAGTGTTAGTGAATAGACTGCGAAGTAAAATAGATTTTTTTTTTTTGCGGGGATGGGGGCACTGTATTCGTCGTCATTTGTGAAGCCTCTCTTTGTTGTGTGAAATAAAAGTCCTACAGGGTCTCTGCTTTTTAGGGGGCTTGCAACCTACCCCCCCAAAAAAAAGTAAAATAAAAATAAAACGGCATTGGGAGAAGGCCTATAGATCCACGCCTGATCCCATCTTGAAGAAGAAAGAAAAAGACGTAAAAGTACATCTAATTTATTGTACTTTAAGTATGATGTATTTAGGGACTGAAGACCAGCGCTAAGCTGAGATTTAGAAAGTGGTCTTTTGAATGCTTTCCCAGAGACCAATGCAATGCAATTTGTTTCCATAGAACCCTTAAAATTGAACCCTTTAGTTAACTTCATTTTTACCTTTTTTGTTATTAAAAAAGTATTTTAATGCCTCTTGGGGTTTTAAGATAACTTCAGTGTTAGATTTGGGTACATAAATTGCTTGTTTTTTTGACATTTTGTTCACAAGTAGTTTCTTTTTCTATGTTTATTCACAGCTCTTTGTAAGTTTGTAGCAATGAGCCAACGAGCAACCCTTTGTTGGAAATGTTACTAAAACAGCAAAATTTTGAAACATATACAAACTATTAACTGAATACAGTGTCTTCCCGATTGGCTCCAAAGCTGTTTATATCGAGATTTGGGCCAACTTCAGACTTTAGAAGCAAATTGCTGTTTATTATGTGTACAGTATAGCAGCCATTGTGTTCTGTAAACTACTCTGATTGGCTCCACGCAGCAGAACCCACTGCTATCTGGAAAAGTATTGAAAATTATTAATGTTTAAAAAGTCCGTTTTTCAATACACAGAGCCTCAGAGGAGTGTGAAATAACTGCCATACATTTTGCCTACGAAAACTCTGTAGTCTGGACCTTTGAGGGCATATTGTAAATTAAAACCAGCAAAAGTTGCTGCATTTGTTTGGAATAAATCAGATATAATTAAATGTGTTTCACATTACACTCAGGATATTTTTAAAAATGTCATTATGTACACGAAATATAAATATCGGAATATAAACTTAGTATAATACGCTTTCTGAAGTAGGTATTCATTTTAGCTGCTTTCATCATTTTAATTACTGGTAAATCGAAAACTTGTGAAATAGAAATAATTTGACGTCAAGAGTAGTTATAGCTTTGAAAAAGGGACATAATATCTTACACTATCATGTACCAAAGTCATTAATGCGAGAAAGACCATTATAGGCCTATGTTAATTGTAAGGCCAGCTGCAGCTTCTGTAAAATAGTTTTGTTCATAGGTTCATTACGTGTGGCTTATTGGTTACTTCATCTCCTCGGCACCTGGTTTACTTTGATGAGTTTTGACCACTTGTCTCCGATACAGTTTCTATCCGGTTCCTAAATGTGACGTCACTTCAGTTTAAACCACGCCCACTGCAAATGCACTGCACATAGAGTTACATGAAATGATCGCCGATAACTTGGAACCATGGAACCGGAAGTTAACGCGTAACTTCAGCGATCGTCCAACGGCAGCCTGAAAATCGTGGCGCGTTCGCCTTTTTGACGAAGTCACTTACGAACCGGATAGTCAATGGCAGTTACATCATTGTATATTTTGTTCCTTTACTTGTATTAGGTTGTATGCTATTTAAGTCGCCTGATTAAAGCAAAATGCATAAAATTTCATTTTGACCTAGTTTAACAAGCACTGTTAGGTCATTTCCAAACACTGTTTGACACAGTTCTTTTCACAGATGGAGAATTGGATTTATCTGCTGGCATAGTACTTTCTGTATCCACTTTTCATTACCCCTTACCCATGGACTACCAATATCCAATAAGAGGACTCGACATACCCTTTCAGATAACTTCATATCTATTTCTGTATACGTATAGGTCTGTGCGTGTAAATAGTCCTATTCACTTGGTTCGTGTTTAACCTTTTAACTTTTTGTATTTTTCTTTCACACAAAAACATTTACCACTGCCACGCAATATTGCCGTCAAGGTGTGGCCCACAGGTTCCCGACAACGTTGACGACAGTTATTTGGTAGTCGGTTTCCAGACCACAAATTCTACATCAAGAAAATTTGTAGTTTCTGATTGTTGCCACTGTCAAGTGTTATTTCCAAAAATTAATGTTCGAAATGACCAAATCCTACTTTTAAAACTTTGGTAGTGATCGTCATGAGTGTTCATGATAATCTATGGATAATGGCAACCTCCCGTACATATCGTCATAGTTCTGTTTTCATTGTTGATAAGGATTTGTCCTAACATTGAAAAAGCTAGTGGGGTTGTGTGGTAAGGGAAGTTGGGAACCAGGCCATATTTTCGATGAGACGGACACCATTCGATCTATCTGGAGCAAGCGACATAGGCTGGTACTCCGTTTACAGAGGTTGACCGACCATTGGTATATCCCTTCCCGCAGTGCTCGCAACGGTATGGTGGCGATCCATCCTCGGTGTTGTCACAGTTAGGGCTGAAAGTGCTCCTGGGACTGCTGCCTACGCTGCCCAGGCTGCCTGCACTGACATAGAGGAGATGCAGGAAGCGGAAGGTCGTGAATGAAATTCGTTTTTATACCCCTCTTCAGGTGACTTTTCGAAGATACTGTTTGAAGGACACAAACGGAAATCGCAATAGTGTTTTCTTGGGTTGATCTCAGTTAGAAATCATTCTCCCAAAACTGGTAAACATCATGATCGTCGGTCCCATGGGCGGCCGCGCGAGGTTTTCAGGAGCTCTTTTTTACTTCCAGGCTCTGTATTCGTTTTTTTCCACTTTCCCCCTTTTTAAATCAATGAATACCCTTTATTGCTTGTTTCGTAAATGGATCCTTAAAAAGTGAGTTGTGCGACATTTTAAGTGTGGAAATATTTCGAAACAAATTAGTTTCCCTGTAGGCTTGTTCAATGGAAAAGACACGGTGTGGTAGTGGGATGAAGCGTATTTAGAAACCCTTGGGATTTATTTCCAAAATACCTCGATGAAATAGCACTTCCTTGGCAATAGGTGGTTTAATTTTCATCGTGACCCCGTCAGTGACTGAACGACACGGTTGGGCACTTCCCAGTCGTCCCCTTTATTCTTCCTTCGAAGTGCTTTTGTTATGGAAAGTCAGAAACGTAATGCTACATTGCATTGAACGGTTCCTACCTTGTATGTAAGTGCAAAAATCGATATTACTTCCTTAAACGTACTTTTCATTAACCCTTTTACCCTAAGACTATTAATTAATATCCAGTGAGGGGACTCGGCATACCCTCGCATGGTTACTTCATAACTATTTTCTTATGCGTGGCTATATATATAAAGATATACATGTAGTTACACACTTGGTTCTTCTTCACACGGAAACATTTTTTGAGTCGTTTAATGTCAAGGGGAATTCACGCAGTTTTGCCGTTAAGGTGCGGGCCACGGCCCACAGACTCCCGCCAACGTTGACGACAGTCACTGGGTAGTCGATTCTCAGACCACAAATGCTATTTTGAAAAAATCTTGAAGTTCTGATTGCTGCCAATGTCAAGTGTTATATCTGATAAAAGTCTAAATCCAGTTTTGTTCACTTGGATAGTGACCGTGAAAACTGTTCATGAAAATCAATGGGTAACGGCAACCTCCTGTATTGCCAAGCGGTTTTTTTTTTCGTTGTTTGGGGGTGACCTGTCATAATACTGAAAAAGTAAATTAGATTGTTCGGTAAAGGAAAGCTCAGTCCACGTAATCGATGAGACGTATACCATTCGGTTGGTCAGGTCTCTGAAATCAGAACGCTAACGGGAGAGATTGGTCCGGCAACGTGTCTCGCAACGCAACTCGCCACGTGAACTATCCAGTCTGCATATAGAACGGTATCTGTTTCCCGCAAACAGACCAGATTTCTGTAGTGACATGCGCAGACATGGAAGAGGGGAATGGAAGATACTATCAAGAGGTCCTCACAGGCTCTCCTAGAAATGGAAGAATTCGTTAAGCTTGATGTAGGTGGCCACCTTTACACCGCCCTACGCTCTACCGTCACTCGTTACCCTGAGTCTATGCAATGTTCAGTGGGAGAATACCGCCTGTTCGTGATACCGACGGGAAATACGTCATCGATGGAGACGGTTCAGTCTTTCGTCACGTCTTGAACTATCTACGACGGTCCAAGCTTGACCTCCCGAGAAATTTTCAAGATTGGGACCTGCTGGCTACAGAAGCGGATTACTATCAGATTGAAGATCTGAAAAAGGCAGTGGAGACAGCTAAGGAGGAGAGGGTGACTGACTGGGGGACTGAGGGGATCAAGGAATTCGTGGAATTGACTGCCCACCAGGATAGTGCCGGCTACATCAGCGGTTACCGTGGGAGCCAGATACACTGCACGAATTAGAATCACTTGATAAACGTATTCTGGTGATAATGTGTGACGGGGACTACCATGCGTTTTATGGGCCAACATGTCCCAAGCGGTTGGAGTTTTCGGGAAATTGTCAAAACTTGGATTTGAGTTGAACACCCCGTGAAGTACTGAATTACAACTTTGTTGGACCTTCAGTCGCAAAATCAAGAATTGAGTTCGGATGTGGTGAAATCTTAGCCGGCAGGTGATGTATACGAGCGGGACGTTCTGCAGACAATCATATCACCTACACGAGATGTATTCTGCTACACTGACAGTGCAGCTAACTGTCCGTCAGCGCAACAACGCGAAGGTAACCAGCTCCTTGCCCTCCTCAAGCGTGCAACCTCGTACCTGTCCTTCCTCCACGGTTATATCATGTTTGTATCGACAATAATTGGTTGCTCATGCTTTGATTTCAGTTATTCATAACGGGAAAAGTGTCAGAGGATAGACTGCCAAGCTAATAAGTCCCAAGGGGCGGATCGATTTTTTTTACGGGGGGGGGCTGGTCTTTGTTTTTATGGGGCTTGAAACCACAAGATGTTGGAAAAAAAGAACAAAAAAGTGGGTCCTCTCTATCCACGTCTATCCACGTCTGATCCCCTCTTCAAGTGAAGAGGAAAAGGCGTAAAAGTGTTTTGTTTACTTTAAGGATGATTCAGGAACTGAAGACCAACACTATGTTGAGATTTCGCTAGCGGTCCTTGAGTGCTCTAACCTTCCTAAAAGGGTCCATGCAGTACAATTTGCAACCCTTTAAAATGCACCTTTGCGAAAAATGCATTTTAACACCTTGATTTTCAGGATAATGCAAATTTCTATATTCATGAAATTTCAAGGAAAATCCTCAATATTGCATTCCTGTGGGCACAAATAACTGCTGGGATATTTGACGTTTTGTTCTTAATTATTTTCGTGTTCTTTATTGATGTATAAGTTCGTAGCCATTGGGCCGGCGAGCAATCTTTTCTTTGAAATGTTACCATTACGTCATTTTGGAACAGAAAAACCTGTACACCGAGGTGTCTTCCCGATTAAATCCTCACAGCAGCGCCCCTCTGTTGTCTAAAAGCATTTAAAAAATATAAAGACCACTTTTCAATGCACTGCAGAGCCTGAGAGGGATGTGAAAATGTTGTCATACATGGTCTTTGAGAAAACACTGTAGCCCGGACTCTTTGTGGGCAGACTGTAAATCGAAAACAATAAAGGTTTGCTGGGAACAGATCAGGTACTAAAAACAGAAGTTTTAACGTATAGGCCTACTCATGAAATCTTTAAAAATCAAATGTCAGTATTTACGTTATATATAAAAACGCAATATAAAATGGGT